ATGAATTTTGTTTTTAATTTCTTATTCTTTGGGCTTGGGAGTTCAGGATTATTCAGGAGGCAAGGAATGAATTATAAAATGTTCTATGCGTACTAAAACACGGGGGAAAAAACCTAGAAAACTGGAGAATAAAGATCTCTTGCTTTGTTTTTGCTCCCTCAACATTCCTTGTTCTGATAGGCATTTAGTGTATGACTTCGTGTCATATTTAGAAAAGAAAGAGAACCAGCACTGAAAATTTGAAAAGTGTCCATGTTTGTAAAAGTACCAGAAAGCCCTGTGCTGTACTTTAGAGAGCCAGATACTAGCCAAGTAAGAGATGGTTTGCATGTTTTTTTCTTACCCTTTATAGCTCAGTACTAATAATGCTCACAGCTGAAGTAATGTCATATTTTTTCCTGCACATTTGCACAAAGAGATAAAGGAGAATACAGTGCAGATTTGGAGAATAATTTGGCATCTAAAATATCAGCTCTCCAGCACAGATCATATTTACAGCTCTATTGGGAATGTCACAGCAATGATTTAAATGGAGGCAATTGTCTCGGAGGGCCCTGACTGATGACTGCATTTAAAATTCTTAGAACCCATGGGATGTTGTTTTCTGAAAGTCGACATAATTTAAGCACTCCACATCCTGTCATTATAGAAGATGTCAGAAAAGTACAATCTAATCCTGCACTAGCATGGTATCACAGTCCTTTAGTTTTGTTACTTTTTAGGCTATTAATATGCCTGTCAATGCCTGTGGTCTCCACAGCCAGGCAGTTAGAGGTGAATATCATTCTTTCACATTTTGCACAGAGGAACTGGAACCCAAAAAGGCCATAAGTTAATACAAAGGGGTACCAATAGTCTGCTCCAGTGATAGCGCAGCCCTGATCCCAGCCTCCATCTGCTAAGTTGTGCTTTTCCACATTGACCTTGGGCAGTCATCTCAACAAGAATACAGAAGAAGCCAGATCCCTGTGAGTGTGACAGTAGCTCTTCTGAGATCTCCTACATTGCTGGGCATGTGTAAGGGACCCAGTGAATACTAGAATGATTAACTTAGGAATGATCCACATTAAAACAATGCCTAAATGTTGATGAGAACAGAATCTCAGCTCACAACTACCCAACATTTTCCTTTTGTTCCCCCACTCTGTCCATCTCCTTAAGCTTTATGTATGGAAATCCACATCTCCAAGAACTACACTCAAACACTTACACATGTGAAAGAAGACTGAGCAAAACACTATATATAGCCTTGTCCTAAAGCCGGATCTTTTTCCATTGATAAGAAAGCCTCCCACTTGGACTAACTTAGCTAGGCCAAATTTAGAACAAACATATCTCAACTATTCTCATTTATAAATTACTAAACTATTTTGTAACCAGGCTATTCTTAATATGAACAAAAGGTAATATTTAAAATTTTTGTGGTTAATTATAAACCCTACAATCAGTAATTTTTACCACATTAAATAAATCAGGGTGGAAAGGATCTATTTTTATCCCATCACAGGGTTTGGGTAGAAAGAATGATTTTTTTCTTTCTTTTTTTTTTGCTCTGAATCTGGGTTCTCACTGAGGGTCATTCGTCCCTCCTTCCTAGGCAACATTCCTGTAATACTTTCTGGAGGCACCTTCTTCCTGTTATTACTGGGTGGTAGGCAGTGCTGTTGTCATCTTGTGGGTATGGCCCAGGGATGCTATGAAACCTTTTGCAGTGTTTCCTCTAACAACAACAACAACAATTATCCAGCACTAAATGTCAGTCGTGCTGAAGTTGTAAACCTTGCTGCCAATTTTGGCTTTATTTACTGGCCTTTGCAGTAGGCCAGCTTTAATTTAGTTCATTCACAGGTAAAGTTAGAATTCCTCTTTGTAGAGCTTTTGTTTGCTATCGTGGTTACTGAGCTTCTCATCATGTCTTCTCACAAGACTTTGAGAATCAAGTGGTTTCTGGCCAAGAAACAAAAGCAAAATCGCCCCATTCCCCAGTGGATTTGCATGAAAACTGGTAACAAAATCAGGTACAACTCCAAGAGAAGACACTGGAGGAGAACCAAGCTGGGTCTGTAAGGAATTGCTTCAGATGCCCACATATTTATGCTCTACCAAGAACCAGTCAAGCTGAAATGTCAGTGCTGCCTAGACTGATAGTTGGGCATTTTTTAAATTGATTTTTCTTTGGTTATTTTAATAATGGGCACAGTAATAAGCATGTAATAAACATTACATTGAAAAAAAAGAATTCATCTTTGTAATACTTTATGTTCTGGCCCTGAAGCCATGATAGTGTCTGGGATCAGCTCTGGCATAGTGATGAGGGCTGACTATGCAGATACCTGCACTGTGCTCACAGTGGTAGCTGGGAAAGAAAGAAAAGCTGACTTGATTAAGTCAATCCATAGGGCTACATGAAGGCAAGGACTGTAGAAATGTGGTATACCACTTGCTACTCAGCTTCCAAAACCAGTGGTAGCAGCCATCTCTGGGAGCCTAATGGAAATACAGACTCCGGCCTCCCTTTAGCCATACTGAGCCAGAATCTGCATTTTATTTAGCAAGAGTCCCATGTTAGGCTTGTGTATGTAGAAAGTAGAGAAGCATGGGTAGGAATTTTTCACTTTGGAGGAAAGTATTTCTTGTTTCAGATTATGGCTCTGACTTCCTGGGAGTGTGACCTGGGCCAATTTACAGAATCTCACTGCACCTCAGTTATTTGGGCTTTTATAAAAGGGTGCAATATCATTTGTCTCATGGGGATCTTAAGAGAATCAGACCAGCTTATTTTTTTTCAGACCTGTAGCTCTGAAACCAAACCCAACACCCAAACTCCTGGAGTTCCACAGGTCAAGTCCAGTCATCTTCCTATATATGCCAAGCAGAGACATGGAGAAAGATAGAGAGGAGGTTTATGACAGACATGGCATAGTGCAGCCATGGGAAGGCAGCACTTGAACATGTCTTCAGCCTATCTTCAAAACATAAAGATTTGTACCCCATTTGGGATATAAATGGAGGCTGAAGGAAAGAGGTATGTATGCTTATTAAATATTCCTGTACAAACTATGGTCTCGATTGGCCATTATTTCAGTCCATATTTGGGGATGAGGGAGTCCAGAGAAGTTCTTGCTGTCGCCACTGGTCAGAATAAATTAAAGTCATCGTTGCCTGATGGGTGGTCTGTCTTGAGAAAGCTCTTTTATTATTTAGGGGTAATTTTGCATCCCTTGTCATAAAGATGTTCAGATTAGTCTCACCCTTCCTGGGTTCCAAGGTAATTTCAAAGTGACTCCAGAGAGAATGAATAGCTTAGAGCAGAGACACATACAAAGTAGAGACAGATGCCAAGCTTTTCTCCTGTTTTTAGTTAATTCTTGGGTCCAGTAAAGGCAAATTTTAAGTATTTACAGCTCAACAAACTGAAAGTAATGATTAACAATAAGACACAGAAAAGTGAAGTAGAGAACATTAGGGAGGCATTTGTGTATTAAGCATCAGAGTTATCCTTACCCAGTAAAGCTGTATTCTTTTAGATCTAATCCTATGAATATGAAAGTAAAGACTGGTATTTTTCATCAGCTTCCAGACAGTGTGGTTTTTATTGGCAGAGAGTAGTTGAAGGGGTTGATATTTTCTACATGATTTGCAGGAGAATATTTTTCCATATTTTATTCGTATCAGAATAGATATGCATTATTTTTCTTTAAACATAAAGATTTTATTGTTTGGACATCTACCTAAGACATTACAAGTCAGGATACAGTGAAGACACTTGCACATCCATGTTCATTGCTGTACTATTCACAATAGCCAAGTTACAAAAACAGCCCAGCAGATGAGTTAATTTTTTAAAAAATGTACCTATACATAATGGAATTTTACTCATTCATTAGAATAATATTGTGTCATTTGTAGGAAGGTGGATGGGCCTATAACAAATCACGTTAAGTGAAGTAAGCCAAACTTAGAGAGATAAGTGAAAGCTAGATCTAAAATACAACTGGATGTGATAACCTACATGGGACTCTAGGCATTTACATACAAACAGACTAAAGGAGAATACTCTTAGGGGAAAACTCAAAGGCGTAAAACTCCTCTGAACATCTAAAATACTGTTTATCAAAATGAATTCCAGGAAATGGAAACATGTTCTTTTTTGTTATCGTTGTTTGTTTTGTCTTTTTAGGGAGGACAAAGGGGGGCATAGAAATGGAGGAAGACAGGTAAACAAATGTAGCTATGATATTTAATATATACTATATAAAAAATGAAGCATGCAACTTGTAGGCAAGAACAGGATAGAGAAGCTGGGTAAAGTGAAGGAAGGGGTAACATTGTCTAAGAAGAATTATACTCATTATCTGACTTATAAAATTGTAGCCCCTTTGTTTAATCATAGGTCCAATGGTTTCCTTTATTTGCAATAACTGGTATATGTCTGAAACAAGCAGAAACAGTCAGATAAGTTGATGTTAGGCGAAATAAACCCCAAGTTAAGGATGCAAATGTTTTTTCTTTCTTGCTATTGTTTCTAACATATTTATAAGATGATTTCTTTGTATGTTCCTCCCCACGGTATAACCCCTGTTTTCACTGTATTTGATGTTGGTATAATTTGTGGAGGGGTAGGGAAAAAACAAAGTGTTTAAATGGGGATACAGGTGGCCCCATTACAAGAATGAGATGTACAAGATGTTATGTCGAAAAATGAACTTTACAACTTTGGCGTGGGGCCGAGGGGGGGTGGGGCATGGAAGGAGATGCAAAGGGGAAACAAAGGAGGAGGCAACAATGCTTGATAAGAAATGTACTCATTACCTTGCTCGTGTAATTGTAACCACTCTGTACAGTATTTTCACAATTAAAAAAAAAGCAACAACATGAACTTGAAATTTGGTAATGTTATTTTGTTTTGGCCAAGTAAATACAATTTGCTAATTGATAACAGTGTTTTGAACATATTTTTGTTGTTGAAAAGTAACCATTCTGGAATGTCTTTTCTTCAGATTATTCGGAGCTGGGAGAACTTCCCCCACGGTCTCCTTTAGAACCAGTATGTGAAGATGGACCATTTGGCCCTGTACCAGAGGAAAAAAAAAGGACGTCACGTGAACTGCGGGAGCTCTGGAAAAAGGCTATTCTGCAACAGATACTCCTCCTAAGGATGGAGAAAGAAAATCAGAAGCTACAAGGTTGGTTTACCATTTTGAAATTGGACAGGCCTGATAATCTTAATTGGTCTTGAATCCAAGTTAATCACATCGGATATAAACATGCAGTCATTTTGTGGAGGAGAAGGGGAAAAAATCATTTAAATAAGGATACAGGTGGACCCATTGCAACAATGAGATGTACAAGTCGTTATGTCGAAAACAAACTTTACAACTTTGGTGGGGGGGGAGGATTGGGTGGAGGGGGCAGGGGGAGGATGGGAAGGGGAAGCAAAGGAGGAGGCTACAATGCTTGATAAGAAATGTACTCATCTTACCCATGTAATTGTAACCCCTCTGTACAGTATTTTCACAACAAAAAAAAAAAGATATAAACAACAGGGGATGAATGATTTTGAGGAAGAAAATACTGAGGTGTTGTTTGGATATATCAAGTTTTTTGTGGCAGTGGATTATCTATGAGGAAAATTTCCCTATGACGATAATGATGAGTCTAGGCTCATAATTCATAGCTGTAGGTTTCTCCATCAAAGTGTGAACTCTTACAGGTGGACCCATTGCAACAATGAGATGTACAAGATGCTATGTAGAAAAACGGACTTTACAAGTTTGGTGGAGAGGGGGTGTAGTTGTGGAGATGGGAGGGCAGGGATGGTAGGGGAAAAACAAAGGAGGAGGCAACAATACTTGATAAGAAATGTACTCATTACCTTGCTCATGTAATTGTAACCCCTCTGTATGGTATTTTCACAATAAAAAAACTTATTTTAAAAAAAATATGAAGATTGGGCTGGGAAGGTGGCTCAGTGGTAGAGTGCTTGCCTTGCATGCTTGAGGCCCTGGATTTGATTCCTCAGCACCACATAAGCGGAAAAAGCCAGAAGTGGCTCAAACCTTGAGCTGAAGGGCTGAGGGACAGAGCCCAGGCCCAGAGTTCAGGCCCCCATGGCCAGCAAAAAATAAAATAAAATAAAGAAGATTGTCTAACACAAATCATATCAGTTTATTTTTCAAAGTAATATCAGTAGTATTTACTTTCTGAGACTATTAAGATAGTCTTACCCACTATATTAATTGATCCCATGTGCTCATTATTACCATACTGCCTACAAGTTTTTCATAGTCATGGCATCAGCTGAATAATAGCTTTACACCACAGCATTTACATTCATGTGTATGCTGAGACTGCAAAAAAAGCAGCAGTGTTAGTCATGTGGGTCATAATACTTAATGCTGCTGCCATGTTGGTTTTTTGGGGTCTTTTCCATTTGCTTCTTAAAAAAAGGTTAAATTACAGAGTAAATGGTCCTTGAACTTAATGAAGGGTTTGAACAAACTTGCATACTCTCTGAAAAAGAAATTGGAAGAACATACATCATACATGAAGAAATTCTTTCTGTGGTTCAGTGTTTCTTCACTTTTGAATCTGTCAATCAAATATTTTATTACTATTCCTGGGGGCATTACAAACCATATCATCCAAATCTACCTAACATTTGTTAACTAAAGTTGTGATTTTTCTCAAAATTACACCGCTAATTTGCTGTGGTGTTGGGGCTAAAAATGCATCAGCTCTTTTCCACATTAGCAGTACTCTAATGTTGCTCTTTGCAAACATATTTTCTCCATTTTAAAATAAAAATGTGAATAGCCTGATGCAGGACAGCAAGGTGGGATTCAAGAAAATGGTGATTTGGGCGTGTTATTTTTATCTGACTAATTCATATACCTCAACATTATATGTTTATTTAAAGTTAAACTGATCAATATTACATCACCATAATTATATGATGACATTAAATTTTGGTTTGCAATTGAACATGGTTTAATTTACCAAAGGAATTTCCTTGAATTAATAATAATATGTTTTAAAATTTTTAAATAGTGAAGTTTCCTATAATCTCTGCAAATGCAGGGGCATTTCATTGCAGAGACTTTAGCTTTCCAAGGGATGATGGCAGTTGGCAGAAGAGTTTTGTCTGTAGATGTAAGTGTTATTACCAGCGCAGGAGTGACGATAGGGCAGAGGGTATACATCAAAGTTGAATATTAATCACACTCAGTCAGCCTAGATATCCACGTTACACGGTAATAAATGTTGAGAAAATCCCTGCAAAATTCCATGTGATTTCATTCAGTCCTATTTCCCTACCCTCATGAGCAGTTCTTATTTCATGCCATGAATGATTGGGTCCTTCATCTACAGTTTATTGGAAACTTGCTGTTTACAGAAGATTTGCTTTGTATGCCTTGGCTGATAAAGCATTTCCCAGGCCACTGATTCTAGATAGCAGGATTCTCAAACAGAGGATGTTGCTTGGGCTCTGTTGACATAGCCAGATGTCCTCTGGGAAGAATTCACTGCCAAAGAAACCATGCTACAGTGAAATTTCTTGCACAATCCCAGTAATGTGTTTTCACCAATCTTAGGACTAAATGTAAATGCTACAGTTAACCCTAATCTAGTCAGAAAAATGTGGGCCAATTTATAAGTTAATGTCCTGTTTTCTAATTTGATGCCTTAATTTTTATTATTATTTTATTTATTATTATTTTGGGGTGGTGCCAGTCCTGGTGCTTGAACTCAGAGTCTGGTTACTGTCTCTGAGATGCTTTTGTTCAAGTCTAGTACTGACCACTTGATGCACAGCTCGACTTCTGGCTGTTTTTGTGTTTAGAGATGACAATGTCACAGACTTTCTTGCCTAGGCTGGCTTTGAACTGCCATCCTCAGATCTCAGCCTCCAAGTAGTTAAAAGTACACGTACGAACAACCAATGCCTGGCTAATTTGATACATTGATGAAGCAAAACAAGTTATATTTCTCCAAATAAATCTGAATAAGCCAAATATGGAAATACCCTAAAGGAACAAACATATAGTTCTTAACATACATGATCTGAATTTGAATCATGAAACTTAAAAATGCCCCCCTCCCAAAAAAGAAAGTAACTATGCTGGTGCCAAGAGCTCAGCATAGGATCTAATCACAGTTCATCAGTGCTAGTCTCAAACCTAATTTGCCCAAGGGTTAGCTTAAAACCAGTGCATTTTATATAACTCCCTCACTCCCCCCCCAAAAAAATATGAGATCAACATTTTTTTAAAATGTGAATTCTAAAGATGTCAGGAGGGGCTGGGAATTTGGCTCAGTTGCATGCATGAGGCCCTAGGTTCGATTCCTCAGCACCACATAAGCAGAAAAAGCTGGAAGTGGCTCTGTGGCTCAAGTGGTAGAGCACTAGCCTTGAGTTAAAGAGATGAGGGACATCGCCCAGGATCAGAGTTCAGGCCCCACCACCGACAAAAAACAAACAAACAATAAAGCTGTCAGGAATTGTTTAAAAGGATCTAGAAAACAAGTTATTTAAAGTAAGAGGGAAAAGAATAAAAATACGGGGTGAAAAATAATAAAAGAGGGAAGTAGCACTAGGCCTAGAATCACCAGGTTGCCTAGTAGCTAAATATCCCTGGGTAAAATCACTTAATCGAATCCGTTCACTTAATTTTTGTGTCCCTGAAGTGAGTGATTAGACTAGGGGATCCATTTAACTTGTCAATTTAAAGTTTTTGATATTGATTCCCCCCCCCCCTCCCCGCTTCTTTGGTAATTTAGGTCTAATTCTTCTTAAGGCAGCTCTTGGTAGTGCACTGGAGTTCTATCTGTCTGCTTATATGTGAGGAGATATCTATGAACAAAGTAGATTTATTCTGTTCAGTTCAAGGGAGCTAGAACAAAACCATTGATCAACATTACCTACTTTAGGTTGGAGTCTAAATAAAGAGAAACTTAGTATATCTCTTAGTTTAAATTAAAAAAAATAAATTATTGAGCTCTAACTATCACTAGGAATTTAACACATGGCTCCTGCTCTTGAAATGTTTATGGTTTGATAGGCTAGCTATAAAGATGGAAAGAACTAAATAGAAGTGGGCTATATCTCCATTTAATCATAGGCCACCAGGACACATTGGTGTGTAGCACTAAAAGAAATCAAATTTTTAGCATTTCCAAAACAAGGCAAATGGATGATTATCATTTGCTGTATTAGTCCCAGATCTCACAAGCATGGAATAATTGGTTGCATATTAGAAGATCTGTACTGTCTACTAATCTGCCCTCACATTGTCTCTTCTAGCCTCTGAGAATGATTTGCAAAATAAGCGCCTAAAGCTTGATTATGAAGAAATCACTCCTTGCCTAAAAGAAGTAACTACCATATGGGAAAAGATGCTTAGCACTCCAGGAAGATCAAAAATTAAGTTTGACATGGAAAAAATGCACTCAGCTGTTGGGCAAGGTAAGCCTTCTCAGGACCCAGGTGGCCAGCCTCACTCACTGAGAGCTGAGATAGGTGTGGAGTTTAGTTTTAGTGACCATCTCTCCTTTTCATCACATCTTTATCTACTCTGTTTCAAATATCTTACTTACTGATGCAAGTTTCTTCACTTTTTTTGTACAAAAGAATTACCATTCAACAAATCAGTTTATGAATACAACGCATCTTGTCACCCCTTTCCTCCTTCTCCCCCATGCCTCCAACCCAACCCTTCCTCTCAATTTTCTTTATTTTCATAGACTGTGTATTTAATATCCTTCTTTTCTTCATCCCTCTGCCCTTCCCCACACTTGACCTCTCTCCCATACCTTTCAAGTGCCAGTTTCCTGGTATTTATTTCGGTGGACTGTAAGCTTTCCTAAGGAATTACTCCATTTGAATTCTCCCCTGCAAATACTATGCTTCAGTTAATACATCTGTGTATACCCCATTTGTGTTTATTTATACATTTATCTATTCTAGCTTCTACATAGGAGAGAAAATATGTGACTTTGTCTCTGTGGGCCTGAGTTACTTCACTTCCCCTAATTTTTTCCAGGTCCATCCATTTTTTTTTGCAGATGAATACTATGCTTCATAGTGGATGAGTAAAATTTCATTGTTGAGATAATTAAAATGCCCACAACTCAAGGAAGTATAACAAAAAGATAATCTAAAGGTTATTAACTGTGTATGTGTTGTGATGATATGTTTTGACTTAAATAGTAAACTAAGAACTAATTGTGTCATTTCTTACTGGGAGACCAGAGTGCAAAGCACAGACTTTAGACAGGTGGTTCTGGGTTTGGCCCAGCCCAGCTGTATGTTTTGCAGTGTGATAGTAAGCCAAGACTTAAGGTCTCAGAGCCCATTTTCCACGTGGGTGAGATATGGGTGTTGACTGTGGTGGTAAGGAAAGGATCTTAGCCCAGGAGAACATTACATGCGTCTACTGTCCTGCCAGGCCTTGAAGGTGGCAGTGGGGGCTGCCTTTTAGTCTCAGCTGTTAATTAATCCAGGAGAGGTAAGGATAGTTTTGAAACAAAGTTTGGGAACATTTCCAGCAATTTGACATAGTGGTTTTATATTTTTATCATTCTGTTTCTCTTGGGTTGTTTTCTACTAATTCATTTTTATTGTACATTATAAAAGCATCACTCTACTGGGGATTGGAAAATTTAAAAATAAAAGCTGATCCTTCACAGGCTAAAAAGTGTCATTTTTAGATCATAATTTCTACAAACTTCAGTGTTCAGAACCCTCCAAGTATAAACTATTTTATTATTGCTACTGAGTTCTAATGCTGAATAACTGGTTATTAGATAAGAGGTGTATATATATATATATATATATATATATATATATATTCATATATATATGCATCTCCATCCTATGGTTTTCTTCTGCTTTTATTGGTTATACAGACTTTATGGAGCAAAACAGCTTTTCTGTGATAGTTTTAGGTGTTTTTAAGTTTTTAGGTTGGTTTGTTTGTGGGTTTTTTTTGGTACCAACACTGGGGCTTGAACTGAGAACCTTGCATTTTTTCCTTTGTTTTTTTTTTTTTGTTTTTTTTTTTGCTCAAGGCTTATGCTTTACCACTTGAGCCACACCTTCACCTCTGACTTTTTGCTGATTAATTGGAAATAGGAATCTTGCAGACTTTCTGCCCAGGCTAATTTTGACCTACAGTCCTCAGATCTCAGCCTTCTATGTAGTTAGGATGACAGGCCTGAACCTTTAGTTTTGATGGAGTCCATTTTACTGATGATGGGTAGTTGTCACTGGTTGTGACTTTCCCCTTCCTAAGGGTCAGGACACTGGGCTTAGAACAGCTGGTAATGAGCTCACACCTCAGGCTGCAGGATTCTCACCACCACTGCACTGGATCTGAGTGAACCATACCATGGCTATGCAGTTCTCAGGATCCAGCTATGCTGAAGACTGAGATTTTGAATAGACGAGGCTTTCCAGGGTGACCTCAGACAGGTCTTCTCACCTTCCTGGGCTCCTACCTCCAGACTGATAGCATGAGAGGCTTGACAATCTACAGATCTTGGGAATGGCTATGCTAACATTCTTTGCATCCATTCTAATATTGATTGCTGGAAGTTTACCCTTAAACCAGATGGCCCAAGATGGCTGCAGCTGTTTGTGTATATGTGTGTGTGTGTTTTCCTTTTTTCCTTTTTTCACAGTTGACTAGGTGTTGGTCTTTCATGGTCTATGTCAGCTATTTCAAATATTTGAGTATCTCAAAGGCCTGGTACCTGCACATGTTTTTCATTCTGTATTATAGAAGCGGAAACATTAGAAAATACTCTAGGAATCTAGACCTTGTGTGGTGGAGTTGGGCATGGATGATTAAACAGTTTATATACTGGGGTGAGCTAAGGCTGACCTGGAATTCCTCCTGGATTGCCTGACTTAGTCACATTGCTTCTTTGCAGGAGCTCTTTCTAACAGTTAAAGGGTTGTCTGTCAGCCAACTTCAGCACATTAAGACTGACCACTCCACACAAACAACGACCATCCATGTTATGACTCAGAATTTTACTACAAGATTCAATCAGAACCCTACTTTGACCTTTCAAGTAGAGGCTGAGTCACTTCAGTCCTTGCATGGGTACTGAGGCCTTTCCTCCTAACCATCTGCAGCCTTCTTAATTTATAAGAAGGAAGAACAATTCTATGGAATATTAGATAATTCAAAGTTTAGTGTAAGAATGATTTCTTTAAAGATATATATATATATTATTGTTGTTGTTGGTCATGAGGATTGAACTCTAGGCCTGTGTGCTGTCCCTCAGCTCTTCAGCTTAAGGCTAGTGCTGTACCACTTGAGCCATAGCACCACTTCCAGTTTTCTGGTGGTTTATTGGATAGAAGAATCTCATTGACATTCCTGCCCGGGCTGGCTTTGAACCTCAGTCCTCACATCTCAGCCTTCTGAGTAGCTAGAATTATAGGCGTGTGCCACCATGGCTTAAAGATACAAAATTTTTGAAGTTAGGATATGTATTTCTAGGAATATATATTTCTAGGAATATGTATTTCTTGAAACAGCTGGTAATATGGGCCAGATGCAAACTTTGCTTGCCTTTGACCATGCGATGCCATTTAGAGAACATTACTCTAGAGGCTGGGAAGGTGGCTCAGTGGTAAAGTGCTTGCCTTGCATGCATGAGGCCCTGGGTTCGATTCCTCAGCACCATATAAGCAGAAAAAGCCGGAAGTGGTGCTGTGGCTCAAGTGGTAGAGCGCTAGCCTTGAGCTGAAAAGCTGAGGGACAGTGCCTAGGCCCAGAGTTCAGGCCCCACGACTGACCAAAAAAAAAAAAAAAAAAAAAAAAAATTCTAGAAATTAGCCAGCCAAAATTATAATGCAGTAAGAAGAATGTTTATTGTGTTGTGGTTTGAAATCCTAATCCAAAAACAAAGCAACTAAACCATGTGATTATCTATGTCATAATTCCTTAAAAATAACATACCTATTTATTGATGAAAAGTTTGAGATAAGTTGTTCAGTGAGAAAAAAAAAGTATAGCATGGTCTCTTGTACAATTGATATTTCCATAGTGTACACATAGAGAAACATCCAGAATGTGTTCAGATACTAGGGATTTTGGCAGGAAGACCATCCTTTCGGGTTACCTGATATGGCCATGGGCTTCAAATTTTCCTGCCAAAATCATCAACAGCCTTCCTCCCCTTCACTTTCAAAAGCTTCCTGTTTTGGTTCATAAATTGTACATTTATTCTAGTTATGGTAGCCTTTATTTCTTTCCTGTGCTCTGCTTTCTTTTCTTTCTTTTTGCTGGTTAGGGCTTGAAATCCAGTCCTAGGCATTGTCCCTGAGCTTTTTTGCTAGAGGCTAGCACTCTACCACTTGAGCCACAGCTCCACTTCCAGCTTTTGTGGTGTTTAATTGGAGGTAAGAGTTTCATGGACTTTCCTGCCTGGGCTAGCTCAAACCATGATCCTCAGATCTCAGCTCTTACTTAAGGAACTAGGATTACAGGAGTAAGCCACCGATGCCTGGCTTGGCCTTTAATTTTTATATTTTTTTGTGTTTTCAGAGATCCACCTTCCCCAAACACACACTTCTGAACAGTAATCATATATTAAATCAGTAAAAACACAAAGTTATTTACATAGAAGCTGAGGTAAACTTTCCTGCCCACCCAGTATTCTGCCTAAAGGCTGTGGGTAGACTCTTCTGCCAGGTTTCTCTCTTGGTCTAGGAGTAAGTTAAAACAGCATGGGCAAGGATATTCCAAACTATTCTTAGCAAAAACATTATGCCTGACTTGTGTGATCCTTTCCTTTGAATCCTAGACTCTCAGCTTACTCTTTTATACTAGTTCGTTCATGTTACTCCCCAGTGACACAGCCAGAATTCTCTTCTCCAAACACTAAAGTCTGATAAGATAATGGAATGATTTAGTAATAAGAGGAAATTGGGCATCTCATACTCGGGGAAAATTTTCCAACCTGACCAAAAATACTTTGTGAAAAAGCCCCACTATAAATCACTTGTCACACCAGCTATTTTGCTCCTTCACATTTGCTTATAGTCAGGGTTTGAAGTCCTGTGTGTGTGTGTGTGTGTGTGTGTGTCCAAGACATATTTGTGAACAAGAATGGTGGGGAAAGAGGAAAAAAAGAATATTCTATAAAAGCAGCTCTCAAAGAATACTACTTTCCTGTTAACAGGATAGAAATACGAAACAACAGGTTTTTCTCTCATAGTTCTGCAATTTCAACGTCATGGTGTTGGTAGGCTGAACTTGGCCATCTCCAGCTTCAGATGGCAGTCCGCATTCTTGCCTTCATGATGCATCATTGCCTCCATAGTCACATTGACTCTTCTAAGTGTCTTTGTCATCACCGTTGCCCCTATGTGACTGCTGTAATACACCAGTCTTGGGCCTAGAGTCTACCTGGATAATCAAGGATGACCTCCTTGCCACAGGATCCTTACTTAATTAGATCTGTGAATAAGGTCACATTCCTGGCTTCTAGGAATTAGGAGAAAGTAGACATTTGAGAGGGCCACCATTTATCAGGCTAGTACTGAAATAAATATTAGGGAAGGCATGGGATTTGGTCTGTTAGCTGGGTTTCTCCTCCTAGCCAACCTAATTTTTCTCTTTCATTGCGGAAATAGGAGGGGAAAGGCCTAGTTCTTACTATACCTAAAGGTGCCTTCTCTCTGGTTTATTTTATTCCTTTTCCTTCTTCCTCAAGGCTGGGTTTAAATTGAAGGAGTCTATAAAACTTGGATTATTCAGTTAGGAAAGAGCCAGCTTGCCTTCCCCTGGGCTCTGCCTTTCCTTGACTGGAGATCCCAGTTTGCTCTGTAGATTTTCATGCTTCATCCCATCATCTTACAACAGTGTTCATTCATACCAGCTAGATCATGTCATATTTGCTGGCTTATCCTTACAGAATATAACCTAGTCAGAACATAATATATCTTGGAAAAATAGGGGAAAATGGATGGGGCCAGAGGAAATGAGGGGAGAGTGGGAGGTTGGAAGGAAAGAAGGAAGAGAACAAATAGGACAAAGTCTTGGTTGCTTCCTGTGCCATTAATTCACAGTGGAACAAGAATTTGGATTGTAGAATGAAACAACTCAACATGAAGTGTTGTTTTTATAGTTTCCACCCCTCCCTCTTTTAAAGGTGTGCCACGTCATCACCGTGGTGAAATCTGGAAATTTCTAGCTGAGCAGTTCCACCTTAAACACCCATTTCCCAGTAAACAGCAGCCAAAGGATGTGCCCTACAAAGAACTCTTAAAACAGCTCACCTCCCAGCAGCATGCGATTCTCATCGACCTGGGTGAGTCTGCACTATTGACTGGAGATGAACCAGGAGGGTTTCTACACTCAAACAATCTGAAGAGACTATCCCCGTTATTTAGCGAAGTGCCTTTAGGTTTAACAGTCAAAATTTACTACTGAGACTCTTAATTTAAAAAGCCCAAGAGTGATCCCAAATGTCCTCTTCAAGTATATAAAAATCTCTTCTTTTCACTGGGCATCTGGCTTATTCTGCTTGGCATGAGGTGAGAGGCTGCTCATTAAGTCCTAACGGCTTCAGTGTCATAATTCAGACATCGATGGGATGTTTTTATGGTCAGCTGTAGGAACATCCTGGGACATACAATGGCATGGTTTAATTACAGCAGCTCAATCACCTGGGATGATTCTATCTTGGAATCGGGACAATGGTTTCAAATACACAAAGATGGAAACTGCATGTCAGATATATTTGAAAACCTTGCTGGACTGATACAATTGTGATGTACAAAAGACCTCCTGACTGTCAGCAGCTGTGCAGGTTTGTGCAGTATGGCTCAAATGGCTGTGTGCTCACACTTCCATTAATCTGCACAATATTGTCACATGTAGATAATGTTGAAAAACTTAAAACAGAAAGGTGAAGTAACTTGTTCAGAATGACCCAGCCAATTGGTTGCAGAACAGTGTGGTGGCTAGACTTCCACTGCCCTGGCTTTGCTTTCCCCTGTAGGGTTCAACCTTCATGGGCTGGACTGGCGCTGTTTTGCCAGTGTACCCTCAGCTTCCAGTGTTAACAGTGCATCATATAGTAGGTGCTCAACAACTCTTTTTCATAAAATTACGTGGGGCACTGAAATCACATATGACTCTCACAACAGCCCTCTGAAACTAGTCCTGTATCCTCTCAAAGTAGTGAGGAAACTGAGGCACAGAGTACTCAAGTGTTAACCACAGTCCTTCTGAGCAGAGGTGCCAGTACCTAAACCTGTTGTCTCTCCACAATAAGGCCCTACCATCCCTCTGGTCCCCTAGCCCGAAAGACCCCAGGCCTGTATGGAAGCAGAAGCCCTGACTGTGGAAGCCTCAGTGGAGCCAGCGTCCACAGTAACCCTGAGGGTGGCTGCTCATGTGATGTGTAACTGAAACAATGACATTGTGTTCCCATGATGGGAAGTAGAGATGGATTTGGGGTAGGAGGGTGGATAGGAGTAAGCACCCTTCCTCTCTGCATTCCTCCCCAGGACAGGAGGGGAGCCAGGTTTTCCTCCCCTGATGCTGTTACTGATGTTTTCCTCTGTAACCTCCCTACAGTGCTGTCTGGTCAGTCTTCTTCCTCATGCGCCCATCTAATCACTTTCCTGTAGAGGACAAGGAAAGTCCCAACCAGCCCAGAGCCCCTGCCTGACTCAGCCTCTTCTTGAAGCTGTTTGAGCCCCAGTCCAGGGGGCCTTTCTGCCTGAGTCACAGCTGCTGATTCACAGGCAGGATCAGGCTTACCTACATCCTCTCTGTCCCTACCCTGAGGACCAGTGGCTACGCCTATCTCCCAGCCAGCGTTGACTACCCCCCTCACTTCAGGCCTGACCTTTATTTTGGAAGATGTCCCAACAACCTCCCAGAGGCCTATAAGAACCTTCAATTGCAAAAGTTTCTTAAGTTACCTCCCAAGTCTCCCCAGTGTTTATCCAGGGACCTTCCCAGGTCATCTCTCCCCTTTTAGAGCCAGAAAAACCTGGGCATTGACAGTACCAGCAGTGGAGTCCTTCTGCTGAGCTCAGACTCTACTCCATGGGTCAGGGTCCAGAGGCCTGATGCAGAAATCCCTCCTCCAGACTTTGTCCATCACTTCCCCAGCTTCAACAAGGACTATGCTTTTGCCACAGCTGGGGCCTATACTTTCTTTTTTGTCTACTCTATAGCTTAGGCCTAATAAAGTGCATAGTAGAGAGTGAAGTCAAATCAGTCATTGAGCTGGGTGTGGTAGGGCAGCCTGTAATAGCAGCTATGCAAATGGTGATAGAGTTAGGAGGATAATAGGGCAGAAGTGCTCAGATACTATGTGAGCACTGAGGGAGAAGGTGGAAGGCGACTTTTGTCTTGTTTTTTGTTTTTAATTTAATTTTATTGTAAAGGTGTTGTACAGAGGGTTAGTTATATAAGTAAGACAATGAGTACATTTCTTGTCGAACATTGTTACCCTTTCTCTTGTTGAAGGCGAAGTTTGAATATAAAGTATCTCATGCATGTATTCATTGAATGATGAAATTCATTAGAATTGTTTTAGAAAGGAACTAGGGGATGAATTTGATCAAAGAACATTCTGTGCATATATGGAAATGTCACAGTGAAAGCCCTTTGTGCAACTAATATATTACTAGTTTGTTTTTTAAGGACAAAAATGAAAGTAGAAGCAAAAGGACAGGGGCCCTGAGTTCAATTCCCAGTAATGCTTTAAAATTAAAAAAAAAAAAAAAAAAAGTATCCTTATGCTGGCCAGAACAGGGTAATTTGTGGTTAGTTGTATCTTAACTTGCATGAATTTTTATTTTCCTGCCTCTTGCTTTTACTTTTTGAAATTGGCTTTAAGTCCATAGAATTTTTCTAAGATTTATTCCTTAAAAAGTAAAAATGTTGCAGTGGGATAGTTTTATAGCTTGTAAAATACTTTTCCAAACTTGGTCAGATTTTATCCTTCCACAGCTCTGTACAAAGTTAGGCACATGTCATTAGTTCCATTGCAGAAGTGATGAATGAGGCCCAAGAACTGGAGTGTTTTGCTTAGCCTTGTCACAGACTCGGTGGCAGAACTGAGTGTCCTTAGTCTTCATGCCCTACCCCTTCCAGGAGTCCCTACTTCAGAGTCTTATGTGTGTCTTACAGTCTCCTAGAGGATACTCCTCTGCTTCTAAGGTGGGGGAGCTTGCTCTTTCAGAATGGACCACAGCCAGCCAGGAGAAAACACCTACTCTCAGAGCTTAACAGATGATACTTAACAAATCATTCTCTCAACCTCATACCCAGGACCTGCCCCCCCTTTTATGCTGGTTCTAGCTATATCCATTTTTCTGGTCATTAGATGACTGACCTTTCTCTTTGTTCTGACTCTTTCCTTTTCTTTGTGCCAGTCCTGAGGCTTGAACTCAGGGCATGGACTCTGTCCTGAGTTTTTGGATCAAAGCTACCCTCTCCCACTTGAGCAACAGCTCCATTTCCAGCTTTTTTTTGGGGGGGGGCAGAGAAAAGGGTGTTGATAATTGGAGATAAGAGGCTTTTCTGCCTGGGCTGGTTTCAAACTGAGATTCTCAGATCTCAGACTCCATAGTAGCTAGGATTACAGACATGAGCCACTGGCAACCATCTAGAAGTGACATTTTTTGATGAGCTTTTAGTTTCCCTTCCAGTGAGACCCAGATTAAGTTAGGCCAGCCTGTGCTGATTGAGATAAGGTGTGTGTCCAGAGGATCATTTAGATCAAGAACCCAATATGTGAATTTTCTTTCCACTCTTAACCAAAGGCTTAAAATCTGCTTGCTTATCTGGAAGAAAAGAACTGTGTCAGGAAAGAGCTTTCTTCATGCTTTTTTAGAGTCCATAAAAACTGCATAGTAGATGGGTCTCTGAAAGGAAAGCTTCAACCAAGGGTATTACAGTAAGCTCGTGTGAAGGGCAGGGAGAGAGCTGGAGAGCTTCCCCTTCCTGCCTGGCTGGTGTCTGCCTCATTTGACTTTAGCACACAGTCAAGTACTTGTCACACACTTTGTAAAGGAGCCAGAACTCTTCTGCACACAGTGGTGTGCAGGCAGAAGCAGCTTGTTTCTTCATCTCTGCCTGGAAGCCTGGTGAGAAAAATTGAAAACCTTGATAGCAAAAGACAGAAAAAGTGTCTAGAATTTGTTACGCAGTAGTGACAATAACCTGTCTGTCCAATTTGGGACTCTGGAGGCCAATTGAACAGTCACAGTTCCAGAGTCTAATGAATTCTTGTACCAGCAGCTACACATGTTATTCACTAGGTATATTGTGGGTATTTGGAGCCTCACATTGGTAAAGAATTTACTGAGACAGACAGAAGCTTATTAAGATTTGGGTTTAAGAGAGATACAGCTGGCAGAGGAGCAGAGGAGCATACTACTGCTGCCGCTGCTAATCTGATATGGGATTAGGGACAACTTTATGGGTTTAAGCGGAATTTTGTTGACTTGCTAGTTCTTTATGCAGACCCTATTGATAGGCTGTCTCCTTCTCAGACTATGGTTCAAAATTCATAGGCACAGAACAGGTTGAGCATTCTGTTTTCTTATCTGCATTCCATCTAACCCATTTTAAGGGCTTGATTTGCTTCCTCATTCCACCTGACCGTCTTGTACCCTAGGCTCATCTACATTCCATTGGGACCTTAGTATTCTACCATGTCCCCTTAACAGGGGCCTCTTGCACAGGATGGGCTGCTGTTTCTAATATTATCAAGATCTCATCTGATAACCATATTTGTTTGGTCATTGTAAATATGCTCTATAACCTCACAGTACTACAAGTAAATAGAGTAAGCAAAGGAAAGAATAAAATTTCTTTCTTGGTGATCTGAAAACTGAAAAATACTTAATAACAAGCTCCTCTCAACCCTTTCCTTAAAAGATGCCCTGGTGTTTAGTGTGTGCAGATTTCCATCATCAAGACTCCTGTTTAGCCAGTTTAAAGCTTGAAGTTACAGATGGCAAGTTGGGCCAAGTGCACACCAAACAGAGCCTTTAGGAGCCAGACCCATCATCATTGGACTTCACTAAATGCTTTCTAGAAATATTGAATTACAGAAGAGTTTTTCTGACTTCATCCAGCCACCATGCCATTAGTAGCAATTCCACAGATTCTGCTTAAGCTGTAGATACATTCCATGGACTTTAGGAAGCACTTTCTTGTGGGAAAGCAGTCATTAGACAACTGATGCTCAAAGTAAAAATTTAATTCTGAAGTGTGGTACAAAAAGGCCCCCCTCCAATCTCTGCTCTGTGTCCCTCATTTCAAATTTTGCTCAGTTTAAGCTGTTAGGACCACCAGCTTTGTAGATCATCTGTTTGTGAGTCACTACTGCATGTGCCCATGAGAAACTGATGGCGTGAGAGGGATTGCCTGTTTCTAGTACCACTTCCTAGAGGCCAGGGATATCAAGCTTCCAGGGAAGGGAACAAAGGAAACTTGTTAGCCAACTGTTGGAGCCTGAGCCATACTGAAATAGCTCTGCGGGTGCTTCTTTGCTTCCTTTAGAATCCTCTGGCTGCTGGCAGCAATGCCATTGACAGCTGAGCAGACTAGGGATCTCATAGCAGGTGCAGTCAAGTGGGCTCTGCAGAGAAAAAGGCAGTTCACTTAAGACTGGATGTGTTTCTCAGTGCCACCTCTGTTCTACTGCTACTGAAGCATTTCTTGCTAGGGGTCAGCCTGGGATGTGCTTGTTGAATAAGTCCTTGAATGATGTGATCCCTACTGATCCTTCAACCTTCAAGTGATGGGCAAAGAAAAGATGGGTCCTGGACAGATATTGCTTAGGTGAATGAGTGATAGTCTTTAGGAAATTCCTAAAGGATGATCTTGTTGGGTTTTGAAGCATTCTTTCATTTGCTTGTTTTTGGTGGTGCTAGGGATTGAATTCGGGGCCTCTCATTCTCCTACACAAGCTGTGTTCTTAGTCCTACATTTCCTTTTAATATAACCATGGAGTTTCTTTGTGCTCATGTTTGATACTCTTCCATTTAACACATTCACATTTTGTCTGGGAAGGTAGACAGACCATTTTTTTTCTGTACTGGTTGGAAGCTGAATTTTTGAGAATATGTGTGATATCTCTGAAGATGGTTGCCCTTGATTGAATCCATTCATAGCAACCACTTATATGAGGTATTGCACATGTACCCAGAACTCTGCCAAGTGTATGTTCTATTTTAAAGAAGGAGAAGCCCAGGTTCAAAGAACTATTTAGAGCTGCATATGCTAGAGGTGGTTGCTTGAGATGCTATTGAAGCGCACACCATAGAATTGTTCTTAGTGTAAGGGATGCTACAGATGATTATCTGTCAGTGATATGATGTTCCAGATCTGTGGTTAATTGGGAAGCTATTAGTGACTCTGGAGCAGAACCCAAGGCCAGTGCCTGTTGAACCCATGTTCCCATATTCCATGGAGCATTGGTGCAAAAAGACTGGGTGCCCTGCTTCTGCTATTAGACTGCCAAAGTGTCTTCCTTCAAACTGAGTCCTTTTCCAGAAGTGGTTGTTAGAGGCCTGAGGATGGAGCCTGTGGGGAAATACTGCATGGTTCCATCTTGCTGTCAGCTTTAGAATTTAGTAAAGTTGGATGTCTGACAGAACGTGGCCCCAGGTCTGCTGTGCTTTGCTTTCACATAACAAAGCACTTGGGACTACAGCTGTGATGTGAGGAAGATGACTAGAGTTGCCTTCGCCCCAGTGAGGGGGCCTCATTTGCAGGGCCTCGTGCAAACAAAATTGCAAGCTTCTGTACAAAGATTATAAATGCCAAGACAGTCAGGGCAGAGCATGAAACTCCATATGAGGCAGAGGCCCTGTGACTTCATAGGGCATGCCGTGAGGCTTCTTTGCTACTATTGCATGACCACATTTGAATAGGACTCTCTCCAGCTGGCCTGCTGGCCTGGTTAAATGAGCAGTGACCACTCTGCCCATCAGCAAGGAACTGCTGTGAGCTCTAGACTCTGTAGAGGCTGCCTTCAACTAGGAAACAATACCTGACCTAAGGGAAGGATCACATCACAGACTAAACCGAAAATAAGTAGTCCAAAAAGCTGAACCCTTGCCAGAGTTCCTCCATGCCATATGTTGCTATAGCTTCCAGAAACCATTAGCACCTGTTTAAAACCCAAAGAAAAGGGGTTTGTGTTTGGGACAGGAGCACGAGCAAAGGAGGTGCTCTGTCTAACTGGGAGCTGCCGGGGAAAATGGGGTGACAGAGATGCTGCCTGCTCGTGAGAAAGCTACAGAGAACAGTGCACTGCACTGCCCATTGTGGAAGCTGTAAGAGGCTGATGATCCTTTGAAACGGGGTGGTCTAAATTGAGGTGTGCTGTCGGTATACAGAGTATGGCTGGATTTTAGATTTTGAAAAGAGAAGGCAAAATGTCTCTTTTTTGTATTGATTACATAATTGAAGTGATAGTATTTTATGTGCTGGGTTAAACAAAATACCTTGCTAAAGTTAATTTTACCTCTTTCTTGAGGTACTGGCTTTTTTAAATTCTGGGCCTAGCCCTTGCACGACAGGTCACTCTTTCTCTTGAGCCACACCTCAACCCTGTTTTGCTTTAAGTTATTTTTCTGATAGGGTCTCACATGTTTGCTGGCTCCAGACCATGATCCTCCTACCTAGCTGGGATCACAGATGCATGCCACCACAGCTGGCTTATTTTGTTGAGATAAAGGATCACATTAACTTTTTGTCTAGACTGTCTTGAAGTGGGATCTTCCTGATATCTGCCTTCTAGCTGGAGTTACAGGTATGAGACGCTGTGCCTGACTCAGCTCTTTTTAATGTGATTACTGGGAAATATTAAACTCCATCTGTAGCTCACTTTACAGCCTGGTTGCATCTAAAACTTTAACAAAAGTACAGACATGATCCTACTCACTTACCCATAGGTACACCCTCCACTCCTACCCCCATATAACATGATGCACACACTCCCAACAGGCTCAGAGAAGCTAGCAGCACCCACTACTGGGCCTGGGTGAAACCTTGGTGGAGAGGACAAAGCCAGAAGGGAACGTGGGGAGGGGCATGTGCAGACCTCGAGGCTAATGGAGTGGAACATGGGTTCTTTGAGCACTAGGGAACTATCGACTGCTTTCTACCAGCAAGGTGACATATGCATGGAACACTGGGGGAAAGATTTGTTGGGTGAAGAGGCAGAGAAGGCAAGCAGTGAATACAGATCAGGAAATCAGGAGTCCATTGCTGCTTTCTTAAATCATGTTCAGACAAGCCGATGTAGGTGGATGAAAGCTTTCTCCGAAAACTGAGGGGAACACTTGAATGCATCCTTCTCCCTCTACTGACAGTATAATTACAGCAGACATGCAGCTGCTGACTCAGCCAGGCCCTGATTCTTACCTGGGTCCAGATTAGACCAGCACATCTCTATTCTTAACTAGCCGCTTTTCTGCTCCCCCAAGACTCTTTCCCATCAGTCACATTCCTGGACAAAGGAGTCTTGGAAGGTATTTGCCATAAAACTTCCTGAACAGCAATAGTGAAAAAAGCCTTTTATTTGAATATCATTCTTTTTCTTTTCTTTTTTTTTTGGTTTTTGTTTTCTTGGGTTTTTTGTTTGTTTGTTTGTTTTGGTCCGGTTGTGGGGCCTGAACTCTGGGCATGAGCAGTGTCCCTCAGCTCTTCAGCTCAAGGCTAGCACTCTACCATTTGAACCACAGCACTACTTCCGGCTTTTTTCTTTTTGCTTATGTGGTGCTGAGGAATCAAACCCAGGGCCTCATGCATGCAAGGCAAGTGCTCTACCACTGAGCCACCTTCCCAGCCTCCCCCGCCCTTTTTTTTTAAAGATTTCAAAAGGTATTTTGTAACTCTTTTCTGGAAGGCAGCTGGCCCTCAGCCTGTCTTAGCACACTGCCTGTGGTTTAAAAGTACACAAGCGCATTGTGACGAGAAGCATTTGCTGGCAGATTGTGGGCGGTCTGGGAAAAGCTGGCAGAGAAGGTCAGTAGTAAGGCCATGCCTTTTGGTCACATTTGGTTGATATACAATCTGGTGAGCACCAAGAAACTCAGCTGTTGTGTTTCTCTTGAGAATGGAGGCTGTGTTTGGAGGGCCAACACTTTTCTTTTGGTTTTAAATTGAAACCCAGGTATTTGTAGACTAAAGGGTACCCCCCCTCCCCGTCTCTAACCTAAACTACCACCCAAAATGTAAATAAAATGTTTAAAGGATTTGATTGATCATTTTTAATCTCAAGTATTATTCCAGGAAGGAACCAGCTAGCTAACCTTTTTATAGTGCAGAAGTAATGTTAACAGCTGATTTATAGCCAGGCACTGATGGCTCACACCTCTGATCCTAGCTACTCAGGAAGCTGAAATGTAAGAATCATAGTTCAAAATGAGCCTGGGCAGGAAATACTGTAAGACTGTTATTTCCAGTTAACCACTGAAAAGCCAGAAGTGGAGCTGTGGCTCAAGCGGTAGAGCACCAGCCTTGAGCAGAAAAGCTTAAAGGACAGCGCCCAGGCCTTGGGTTCAAGATTCAGGGAGGGAAAAAAAAAAGTTGATTAAGTGACTTATGATCCAGCTTCTGAGGACCTGTTCCTTTAACCTGAAGCACGTTGCATTTCTGGTTCAATGGGCTTTCTGTCTGTCTTTTTCTTTTCCTTTTATTTTCTGCTTTGGTTTTTCTTTTTTTTAAAAAAAAAAACAAAACTATTTGTGTGTTTTGTTTTGTTGTTTTCTCAGGGCGAACCTTTCCAACACATCCATACTTCTCTGCCCAGCTTGGAGCAGGGCAGCTGTCGCTTTACAACATTCTGAAGGCCTACTCACTTCTGGACCAGGAAGTAGGATACTGCCAAGGTCTCAGCTTTGTGGCTGGCATTTTGCTTCTCCATATGAGTGAGGAAGAGGCATTTAAAATGCTCAAGTTTCTGATGTTTGACATGGGACTGCGAAAACAGTATCGGCCAGACATGATAATTTTACAGGTATCAAGCATTCCTATATCTTCAATAAGTATATGGATGATATCCCCTCTTCCCTTTATTATCTAAGGAGCTTTCTAGAAGTAGTTACACTGTGATAGGCTATGTTGCTCATAGGCTTTGTACTAGGCATTATTCCATGAGCTTCATATGTACTTTTCTGCATTATGCCCTGCAGGATGACACTATTGATTGGCTCAGCTTCTAGAGTGAAGAACCAGAATGTGTAATTGGACTAATCACATATTTAGCAAATGGAGGAGCTAGAATTTAAACCCAAGCTAATCTGGTTCCAGAGACCTTATTCTTGGACCCTTCATTAACCATCAAGCAGTTTGAACTCTGCGTCCCATCCTGTCACCTGCTACTTTCTCAGCCAGGGGTCCTCACCCTCACTGCCATGCCTGCTCTCCTGTCATGCAGGGCTCAGTTCAGCTCTCACATCCTAGGAGAAGCTCTTACTTAACCCCCAAGCACACAGTATTGTGTTATCTTGTCTCCCTTATCTGGCATAACACATTCCCTGGCAGAAACTATCCTTTTTATTTACTTATCTACCTATTTATTTTCCAATTTTTCTTAGTAAATAAACTTTGTGAGAGGAAGACCTAACTAGTCTTGGAGCTGTGTCTGCAGTTTATAGACAGTGACTGAGATGAAATAGTATTTATTGAATGAATGAATTGGTCAAAAGAAAATGAAACAGAGCAGCATGTGCCAGTGCTGTTCCCACTGCTTTGGAGGGGTGAGAAGAGCTATGGATCTTGCTTTGAGAATATTTCTCAACATTGCTTAGAATGTGAGTGCATGCATCCAGATGTTCATTTCCTAGCACAATTCTTCTGTTTCAGAGCTTTAGAAAGTACCGTTAGAGCCAAGGGCTCTTTTGGAGGTGGAGGGAAACAATACATTATGCAATTAAAAATTCCTTTCCTCAACTGGTGACTCTGAACCACATGAACATGAATCATAGCAGGAAATCTTTAACTGGTGCTAGTAGTTCTTGCCTATAATTCTAGCTACATAGGGCACTGAGATCTGAGGATCATGATTTGAAGCTAGCCTGAGCAGGAAAGTCCATGAGACTTTTTTTTTCCTAGTTAGCCAGCAAAAAAGCCAGAAGTAGTATGACAAGAAGTAAGAGAGACAACCTTGAGTGAAAAAGCCAAGCAAGAGTACAAGGCCCTGAGTTGAAGGCCCTTCAGTGCCAGCACACATGCATGCATGCATACACAGAATAGGAAACCTTTTTGTCCACTGGATGTTTTGTCCTATACAGGACTTTCCACATGCTGTTGGGCTCTTTCTGCATTCCCACCATTGACTTTACTGTGGGGCAGCTGTCAACAGAGAGTAATGTTTGAATTGTATATAATTTAGCTTAGAACACAAATCGTTTCAGGCCTTGGTTGATTAGACTTTTTTGGATACAGAAGAGCCACAGCTGGTAATTAAGAGGATTTATATCTAGGCAACTGAAAACAGATTTAATTTTTCCAAGTTTGGGCTGGACATCTCTTTGGAGGATCTCAGTCAGACTTCAGTCCTCTCTAGGTTGCTTCCTTAGTCCCAAGCCATGGGACTGCTCAAATCTGGGTTGGCTTGATGAACTCTGTGAGTCAGAGGGTCCTAGGAATGGAGTGAACTTCCTGTCAGATCCAGATGATTCTCTGAAGAAGCAACCCTTGATGTTGATTTAACTTTAGCTGGAAAAAGCCATTTTATTCATAGACAAAACCTTCTTGTTTTATCTTGCCAAGATACACACATTTCTTCTGTAGACCTGAACAAATTATTTTTGTCTTGCTGTGAGTGGCTTTGGGAGATACTGGGAACTGGCTACATGGACAATTGACATATTGTCTAGAATTGTGATATGCACTCAATTTACTCTTTGCAGAGGCTGTTTGTTTCAAATTCCCCTGGGTTTGAATTTTACTAAGAATGTATCTGTAAGAAAATTTTTGAAATTTTTGCACAAAGGAGATAGTTAGCCAAGGAAAACAAGGGGACATAGGAAAGAAGTAGTAGAAGACCCAGCATGTGTGTTTGGGACCTACTCCACCCAGAGCCTCATGAAGAGTTTGCTAGATGAATTAATAGCTGACATCCATGGATACCACAAGCCAAGTAGATTATTCACGTCACTAATAATTCCCTCACACATCCTAAGGAGGATGAGCAAGTTTGCATGTGGAGAAGGAACCTAATTCTCTGTCCCTGCAGATCCAGATGTACCAGCTCTCAAGGCTTCTTCATGATTACCACAGAGACCTCTACAATCACCTGGAGGAGCACGAGATCGGCCCCAGCCTCTATGCTGCACCCTGGTTTCTCACTGTATTTGCCTCGCAGTTCCCACTGGGATTTGTAGCCAGAGTCTTTGGTGAGCTTCCTACATGTGTCTGTCAGAACCAGCATTCTCCTGTCAATGGCTGCACTTATTCTCACTCAGTAGTGGCTCTACTTACTTTTGAAACTGTGTCTCTCACAAAGATGAGATACTGTTTGCTAGTCTAGGTTTAGTCAGCATTGGTTTGAGGACTTTGAAGCACTGTTTACCATGGTAATCCTGGAGCTCCCATAGATGTTTAGGTCAGATACCCTCAGCACAAGGTCCTCCCAATACCAGATCTTTGGACTATTTGGCCAAGCATCTAGAGGTGTAATTTTAATGAGTCACCTTCCTTCCTCAACCCCTCTGTCTTGTGACTTTGCTCACAGTTAGCATCTTACAACTTTTCAGCCTGTGGCTTCCAGACCATTACCTTTCTGAGATTTCCTTTATATCCTCTCCCCTTTTTCTTCTTTCCCTGTCCTTAGCTCTTTGTTTTCTCTTCTGTCACTCTCTGATTCACCCATGTCAGGGCTTTGAGTGACACCTCTGTGGGGGCGACTCTGTCCTGACACCTGTCATATGTTCACATTTCCAGATATCTCAGCTACTTCCACTTCTGTGCCCCACTGTAATTTTAGATTGTTCAGATACTAATCCATCGTCTTTTTTTCTTCTCTTCCTTCCTTCCTTCCTTTCTTTCTCTTCCCTTCTTCCTTCCTTCCTTCCTTCCTTCCTTCCTTCCTTCCTTCCTTCCTTCCTTCCTTCCTTCCTTCCTTCCTTCCTTCTTTCCTTCCTTCCTTCCTTTTTGTCTTGTCAGTCATGGGGCTTGAACTCTGAGCCTGGGTGCTGAACTTCAGCTCAAGGTGAGCGCTCTGCCACTTGAGCCACAGCGCCACTTTCGGTTTTCTAGTGGTTTATTGGAGATAAGAGTCTCACGGACTTTCCTGCCCAGGCTGGCTTTAAACCGTGATCCTCAAATCTCAGCCTCCTGAGTAGCTAGGATTAAGGCATGAACGACCAACCCGGCCATCTTCTTTTCTTGATTTGTTCTTTGAGAACATATATGTTCACATCAGTTCTCAAAACTGTTTTAGAGGTGAAAGCAGCTACCCAGTGAACTACCATAAGCACAATCCTTTCTTGTATGGTTTGTTTTCCCTACTTGAAAACAAAAGTCTTCTTTTTGCTTGACAACTGGAATTCTTTTTACATTTTACTGTGAGGGAGGAAGATGCTTAAACTTAGTAATTATCCACATCAGGTACTATTAATGTCATATATGGGGAGTTACTTGTTAGCTTAAAACCATATAATTGGGATATGCTTTTGGAATCAGCTTATTAAAACACATCAAGTGTATATTGTTTTAGAAATTCTTTTGCTTAGTCTATCCCAACCTTCAAGACATAAAAATCGCAGATGGTTCCACTGAAAAGATGAGTTCTTAAAAACCATTTCTACATATAGCATCTTGACTTAACTCTAACTTTATGATGCTAGACAGCTTGGTTTTACATTTAGGAGCTTATCATTCATTCAGGCTTTATTTCCTGGGGCCCGTTTCATTACAGACCTTTAAGCCTGGATCAGATCAACCTTTTGTTGATTCCCTATTTTATACATAAGTAAAAGATTCTCAACTTGCATCAGCATATCTCACATATTAATTAGTAGGTTACGTCAAATTTAGAATGTGCTACTTGAAGAGGCAACTGTCATTTGTGTGTGGGGTGGGGAATCACATCTGGTAATAACACTTGGCTGAATATCAGTTCTCTAGAGCCACAGGAAGATGGCCATCTCCTGTATATTTATAGTTAGGGAAGAAGAGAACCTGAAATAAATGATTCTGTTTACCTTATAACTGTATGTGCCTTGAGGGGAAAAAAATCTGAAAAATGGGGAAGCTGGCTCAGTCTTGTTGGAGGAAGAGGCTGCAGTGTTGAACTCCTGAGGTCTTTCTTTAGGATGTTCTGCCAAGGAGATGAAGATGAGATGACATAAAACTAAAGGTTTGGCACAAATCCAGAAGCCACCTGCAGTAGTAAAGGCTTCAGAGGGATCTTAGGATAAAAATACACTTGGAAAGCCAGACAAGTCTGATGGCCAGGAAACTGTCCAGTTGTTCCAGACAGCAGTGTGGGGCCTCCACAACATGAAGACCACAGCCTCCCAGGAGAAAGGGATAGATAGGGAGGGAAGGATTGTTTAAAATAAATGTGTCTAGGAAAGAGACTCTGTGAGCTCACAGAGGAAAATCATTTTGTCAAGTAGAGCCCAATACCCCATGAAACACTAACAAAAATGCTGAGATATCTTCAAGGAAAAGTAGTTACATTGCTCTCAAGCAAGCTGCAAAGTGTAATTTTCCAACTGATGGAATCAGTAAAACTTAAGGTTTTCTCAACTTCCTGCCCGTTTCTGGGTGTTCTGAAAATGCAGGGAAGAGAAGTGACAAGAAGAAAGCTCCGCTGAGAGGAAGCAGATTGCTGCGCTGGGAGCTGGGGTGTCCAGTGATGTAGTCTCTACTTTCAAAAGCAATTAGGATTTTTTTTTTATTATTTTAAAATTATGCTTAGCTGGGGACTAATAGCTCATGCATGTAATCCTAGCTACTTAGGAGGCTGAGATCTGAGGATTGAAGTTCAAAGCCAGCCTGGGCAGGAAAGCCCATGAGACTTATTTCCAGTTAGCCAGCTGAAGGTCAGTGGAACTGTAGCCCAAGTAGTAGAGCGCTAGTCTTGGAGAAAAAATTTAGACAGCACGCAGGCCCTGAGTTCAAGCCCTATTTCTGGGTACATGCACGTGTGCACGTGAACACACACACACACAATTTATGCTTAATTTGTAATAATTCTAGAGAGAAAGGTATTGTTTAATATATAAGCTACCCCGAGTGTGTTCAGTTAAGTTTGGGAACCCCTACCTCCCAGTTTAAGCTTTAAAGGGTTGCTCCTTCACCCTTCCATTTCTTTTCTTCAGTAAGTCCTTGATTAAAACTTCCCTAGTCCAACAGAAACTTAAGGGACTGACATGGATACAGAGAATGGCAGGCATGGTGAAGCAGAGTTACCCCCACAGTAATTCCCAGCCTGTCTGTAGAAAGCAGCACAACTCCATAAAGGGTGCCTTTTTGTCCTAAAAGTAGGTGACCCTGTGGGGATCAGACCCATACCTAGATATGTTTGTATCTCTGCAGTTTCTTCTTTGCACTCTATTCATAGTTTAACCCCAAGTGAAAGCTATTGTTACACTGAAATTCAGCATACTTGTGTTTTAAAATGGACTTTAGCAATCATATAGACTTTTTACAGTTTTTAAAGAACTTTTAATTTCATCCTTTATTTCAAATCAGAGGATACAGACATTTTGTCTTACTCTGTCTTCCATTATGATGCTGCATCTGTGCAAATCTTTTGGTTTTACTCATAATATCATGCGTTTGGGTAACTCCCCTAAAATGCAAAGCATTGCTAGAAAAACCCAACTAAAAAATCTTTTTCTCTTTTTCAATTTAAGCTTGGAACTATGCTTAAGTTTAACTCATTTTCAGAGTGGAAATTTTTGTATCTGTATCTGTATCTGTGATGAAACCTAAGCAGATGTTTATCTGTTATTTTTGTTATTTGCAGTATTGTCTTGACAACCCTATCTGAAATAGCAGGCTCTTAAACAGGAAATAAAATTTTCAGTTTGGAGTTCGGTTTTCCTCCCTCCTGCTCTGAGGAAAAGGAAACAGAATGGCATTTTGTCCTACTCTGCTATGATTTAACTCTTCACATCTCTGTTTTCCAGATATGATCTTCCTTCAGGGATCAGAAGTCATATTTAAAGTGGCTTTAAGTCTTCTGGGTAGCCATAAGCCCTTGATTCTACAGCATGAAAACCTAGAGACCATAGTGGACTTTATAAAAAACACACTACCCAACCTGGGCTTGGTACAAATGGAGAAGACCATCAACCAGGTATGATTGGGTCCAGACCTTGCAAATGGCTAAGGGCTTTTCAGAACTTAGGTTTTTTCTGACCAGGAGCTGTTTCCTACCACTCTTGTGTTCTGATCAGCCTCTTGCATGGTGCCTGGAAGTCAGGAGGCACAACACAAATAAGCCTTGAATGATTAAAGGTATTGACTTGAGTGTGAATGTTGTGGTTAGAATGGTAAAGAGACACCAGAAAACTGGGTGGCGATGCTGTAGTTGAGATAAGCATTGTTGTGTTGCATTTGTTTGGTCTGCTGAAACACATAGATTTCTAAAATGTGGGCTTTTGTAGAATGAGGGTTTTGAATTTTTCTGCTGAGTGGTGTTAGTTAAAATGTACTGAAAATAAATAGAATTGTGACAGGCAGCATATATTCTATGAATTTGTTCTGTTATTTTTTAAATTTACTTATGGGTTGGGTTTTCTTTTCTTTTTTCCCCTGAATGCCATTCCACTTGTGAGGTTTCTAGCATCCCTCATTTTCATATACAGTAGAGCCATTACTCTGAAATGCTAGAAGTTGAGGGGTAGATTTAGCTGGAAATTACTAGACCAGATGGCAAATGGTTTGAATCAGGCACAGGAGCAGATTTCAATTCTTCCTAAGGAAGAATCTTCTAGTAATAACTATTGATGATGATGGACTGAGCTGCTTATGGTCAGGGGAGGGGCAGATTATATATATTATAAAAGGATTTGTTAGATTGGTTTACATGACCAGAGGCTTGGATAGCCCCTACTATGTAAGATAGAGAGCCAGAGAACCCAATAGCTGCTCAATCCAAGAAACTGGAAGCCTCTGGACAAGGAAAACCATCATTTAGCCCAGACCCAGACCGCAGGCCGGTCAACCCCCCTGGAGAGTTGCTTTTTAGAAAGGCAAAAGCAACTGGAGTCTGCCAGCAGATGTGATGGCACAATAGATGTGCCTGCTTGGGATGAATGAAGCTTGCGTGCACTGGCTGGCACTTCCTTGTCTCTTTTGTTCCACTTGGGCCCCCTAGCCTATTGGACGGTATGCCCTATATTCAGACAAGTCTTTCTCCCTCAGTTGCTATTCTGTATGTCAATCATATCTCTGAACACCCTCACAGACAACTCAGCAGTGTGCCTTAACAATTCCTAGGCATCTCTCAATCCAATTAAGTTTATAGTCAGAATTAAGCATCATACTAAGAATGTGCTAGAAGAGATTTCATCAGCAGTTGGTCCTCTCCTAAGCCTAGAATCCATACCACACATTACAAAAACATAGAATAAACGGGTAAAATTGCAACGAGATGTACAAGTCGTTATGTAGAAAAACGAACTTTACAACTTTGGCCGAGGGGTGGGGGGTGAGGGAGGTGGGGGGAGAGGGAGGATGGGAAGGGGAAACAAAGGAGGAGGCAACAATGCTTGATAAGAAATGTACTCATTATCTTGCCCTTGTAATTGTAACCCCTCTGTGTGATATTTTCACAATAAAAAAAAGTTTAAAAAAAAAAGAATAAACGGGTAAAAACGAACAGCCAACTAGTCTTTATTCTTTATTCTTTATTCTGAAGATCTCTGGTAATCCAGGATAGTAGTAGATTCCAGCAGATTGCATCCAGATGCAATGTTTGTGATTTTCATTGGCTGTTCTACCAGGGTATTAAGTTCAGAAAAAGGCCCGTGTTTGACCTGGTTTTATATCAGATTATTAGTTTGGATCTTTACATACTACATTTGCCAGTATGAAAGAGTGCTCTCCTCTGCACTTTACTTAACTGATGGGCTCTGTATCTCTGCATTTAATTACTTACCTGGCATGATCCTTTCCATGTGAATAACTTTGTCTAGTAGAGTCCTTAATTTTGGCCAAGTTGCATGACCTCATGCAATTGTGAGGGCATTCTTGTGATTAATTAGCTAGAAGATAGTCTGCTATGAAGGGCAGGATAGGGGATCAAGACTCATATCACTTCAAAGTGCTTTAGCAGTTCCAAGAGCTTTGGAGTCATTAAGACCTATGTCTTGCCTCTTGCCACTGAATTCTTTCCCCTTTAGACTCTCATATTTCTGATGTGTTTACTCTGTGTGTGTGCGCGTGCATGTGTGTATGTGTGTGTGTCCCTTAGCATTTTTGCTCAAAGCTGATGATTTACCACTTAAGCCACTTCCAGATTTTTGGTTGTTAATTGGTGGTAAGAGTCTCATGGACTTTTCTTGTCCAGATTGGCTTTGAACCACAATCCTCAGATCTCAACTTCCTGAGTAGCTAGGATTACAGGCCTGAGCCACTGGCACTTACAGTGATGTATTTTCAGTCTTTTATTCCCTTCTTAGGGCTTTTGATGTATATACTTAGGTTTTGTAAATTCTGAGGCAAACCTAGAGAACTTTTGGTTACGTAGACCAGATGGACTTCCTGATGCCCTGATTCAGAGACAGCTGTCCCTGCCAGCATTCAATTTACCTCCTCGTTTGTATCAGGCTGGAAGTATAGAAATGGACCCATCATGGGAAGAGAACAGTTGTATGTACATGTCCTCGATGTTGTTTAAGCAACTGTTTTTGAACTTGGTATTCTGTTTGACCTCAGTATTCCACTGACTCCTCTAACAATTCTGGGACATGATATTCCAGTCCTCATCTGTATGAGTAGGAGACCAAGCACGTCCAACATTATATATGTAAAAGCAAAACCTGTGGGAATGAGTCTACAATGTACCTGTGCTGCTGTTGGAGCCAAGGGAGTTGAGTCTGACTGGGCCTAGAATGAACTCAATCAGGTTTAGTCAGTATATTGTATAAAGGCCAGACAGAACGCATTTCAGGCTTTGCAGCTTGTAAAGTTGCAGCTATCCAGTTCTGCATTTGCAATGTAGACCTATAGACATAAAAATATATACAAAAAAGAACTATAGACAACATATAAAGGGATGAAATAATCCATGTCATAATAATACTTTATTTTAGGCTGTAGGAAGAATTCATCTATAGGCTATAGTTTGCTGATCCTGAGCTATAAGATTGTCACACACACACCAGAGGCACATGATACAACAGAGCAGTTCCAGCTAGCACACACACACAAAAAAAACTACATCCCAAGATTTTATTCCAGTGACAGTCTTGATAAAAAATAAATAAATAAAACTTCAGGCACCTGTCAGACCTTCTCCCCATCTGCATTCAGATCTGGAACTTGACCATGTAAAGCCTGCTGACCTGCTCCCCTCAAGAGGGTGAGTAAGTCCAAGAGCCAAGAGCTTCTTGTCTTTGGGAAGCCTCAGGCCTGAGTTAGGAAGCCCACATAGTGGAAGTGGTAGATGCATTCATGGCAGCTGACAGGGCATTAGCTTGTGTGTTGACATGCTGCAGTCTTAAGAATGGAGTGTAGGCAGTCCTTTGTGACATCCATGGCCCCATTTCATTAAATGGCCTCCCTGTAAATGGTTTCAATTTGAGCATCTGGGACATAGCCTTGCTCCCAGATGGAGGGAGTAGCTCAGTATGACAGGATGGGTACAGCCTCAGAAGCTAGTAACAGAAGACCTAAGGCAGAAGTCTTTGAAGCCTCAGAGTAACCTGATCCTCACTGAGGAAAGAGCTGGGTATACGGAAACAGGAAGAAGGGAACTCTGAGAATGATTAATACCAGGGGAAGGTTGGTGTTGTAGTCTTGTCCCAGTGTTCAGCTGATTGGCAGGACAGGTTGGAGGGTGGCTTTGGGAGGCTGAGCCAGTAACATCCTTTAGGTCTGTTCACTGTGATATGTAGAAACTTGTTGGAATGGCAGGATTTGGGACCCCACACCAGACCTACTCGGATCCCCAAAAGATTCCCATACATAGCCCATTTGAAAGTTCTGCTGTGGGCAACTTTGGTGAAGTATACCGGCCCAGTTGTACTTGAGCTTGTTGGATGGAAACCTGAGACTTACCCAGTTAACTGTTGAGAATAGAGTGCAACTTCCAGGCAGCCTCTTCAGCTCTTTGGGGAACCCTCACTCTTGGGCAGTTAGCACTATTGAAAAAGAGTACTTTTGTAAGAAGACAATTGGTGCCACACCAAGATGGTGGGATATAGCTAGAAGTATTTCACTGGCATTGTTCACAGTTGCTTACATGTGGTGATAATAAAGAGCAGACCAACTTTTAGTCAGCTTTATCATTGTTAAACTTACTATAGTTGGTGTACCCCTTTTGCTGACACCCAGGCAGACTGCTCACCCTGTCAACCCTGGTGTGCCACTGAAACTAGCAGACTGGGGACCAGGATCTGGGAATTCGGAAGGTGAAACATATGTAACTAGTACTACAAGAACTTAGAGTAAGTGGCTTCATTTTACAGTATCTACAGACTACAAAGACAAATACTGAGTCTTCACAGCAAATGAGCCAAGAACATCAACACACAACTCACTGAAAAGGAGAGCCAGATAACAAACATATTTGGTAAAAAATTTAGCTTTATGCATAATTCAGATAGATGGATGTATAACATACCATGCTTTACCTACTAGGTTAACGGACTGATACTTTTTAAATGCCCATGCACTATGCCAAAAGTAGACTGTAGCCAGCACATTGGAATATGCTAATGACATCCATTGTACTTTGTCCCATGTGGGAAGCAGTTAGGCAATTTGAACTACAGCCAATAAAATACATTCTTTTGACCCAATAATCCCAGTTCTTGCAATGTATTGTTAGGAACTCATCCAAAGTATAGGAGTTGCCATATATCTAACAATACTCTGTTAGAATTGTCATCCAAGATAACAAATATTTGACAGATGTCCAAAACCTGAGGAGGACCAGATGATATGGCTGTGGTATATCAAGTTGATAGAATGCCATATACATTTGTGGTTATGAAGAACATATAGCAACTGAAAAAAAATTTAGGTTATCCTTTTACAAGTAATAAAACATACTGATAGTAATAAAGATGATAGGAAATATAAGATAAAATTGTATTGGTAATTTTGTTTTTTATGCTTCCTATAATGTAGCTACAATAACAAAGAAAATGAATGGTTCTGTTTGTCAAAGCATCGAACATAGGGAAATAGGTAATTCCTACTTTGCCAAGTTAGGTCCAGCCACTCACCCCCATATGCCAAATAAACATGATGACTGGCAGAGAAAAGAGGTTTATTATGCCATGGAAAGACAGCACTTAAGGACATTTTCAGACATTGGCTTCATGTTGAATAGGAAGAATTAGAGGCAGGAAGCAAGAAAGATATGTGTAGTTAAAACAGCTCCAAATTACAGGTTAACTGTTAGTTCAGTTTTTGCCCTTCTAGGAGTTCTGTTGAAGTTACTGCTTTATTACTGGAACAGAACAGGAAAAAGTGGTCTCCAAAATTTTTGGCTTTAATGTTTGCTTAAAGATGATAAGAAGAGGACAATGCTTATTTGAGGGGCAGTTTGCCTTCCACATAAGATTGCTTATCTGTGATTCTGGTCCTTTTTGGAGCCCATGGTGATTACAGAGCAGAAAATAGCTCAGATCAAAGGGCACAGATTCAAAGTTGGGGGACTTTTAGCTAGTTCACAGGACCTAGAAAAAACATCTTTCAAGCTGTGTGACAGCCAGAGATGTACTTGTGCAAGAAATGGACCACACCTAGTTGTGTGGGCTGCTTTCCCACAGCACCATGTTTTTAATAGTCTTTTCTCTTCATTGATTGTGCTTTGCTCGGATTCCATAGGACTGAGGAAGAGGCAGAAAGAGAAAGATGAGGCAGTCAGGGAGAAAGAAACAGCAGCCCTGTGGAAATAACACACCATTCTCTTCCTAAAGACCTTGGGAAACAAAGACAGTGACTCTGATGGAAGCAAAGCCCTGAAGCAGACCCAAGCAGGGGAGAGGCACCCCTTAGGATGAGGGGACAGTGACCAGCCAGATTGCAGAACAGCTGAAACTCACCCAAAGGGATATAAAATGATCCCCATGAGCACTGCAGTTGGACTACCAATTTCTGGGTCCTATTTCTCACTCTCGTACCTCAATATGTCTGTACTCTCCTCTTCCTCCTTGCTAGGGAAGCTGGTGGACAGGACTGATTGCAAGCATATACTAATCCATTGGTAGCCAAGAGACCATTTTCATTTCCTTGGTGCCTTACTCTCACTTTGCCTCTGTTCTCACTTTCCTGTCCTTATAATTCTTTATTTGGTGGAGAAAAAGGGACCCAAGATCCCTAGACAGGATTAGGCCTTACTCTCTTCCTGCTCTTTCTCTAAGAACTGGCACAGTGAGTCACTTGCTCTTTCTCTAAGAACTGGCACAGTGAGTCACTTGTGCTCACCCTTCCTTTTTCTATTTCTTGCACAAGTCATTGGCCTAAACTTTTACCATCACCTATCCAGTGAACTGTTGGGCTTCAGATCTGGGGCATAACTGCAAAATCAGGGCTGTGTTTTGGCCATCAGAAGATAACGATGAAGTTAAACCAGGATGAATGTGCCTTAGGGTGGTTCCTAGGGATTGGCGAGGTCAGGAAGGGTGTAGCCCTTGGTTGCAGCTGAGAGCTATTAACCTTAGCTGGTCATTAGTCTGCATAATAGGCCAGAGGCTTTGTTCCCAGGTTTCCCAGGTTAGGAAATTGTCTAAAAATAAACCTTGGTGGATGAAAGGAAGTAATCATGTGTGTAACACTTGTTCTGTGTGGTATTTTTAGCTACAGTGCCACAACATACTCTGGCTTCAGGTTTGTGGGGTTTGCTCTGTTCACACTGTTCATATGTTCCATGATGTGGCATCCATTGTAGTTCTGAGGCACAAAGCTGAAATGTGGGAGGGGTCTGTGACAGGCGAGTAGAACCAGATCTCTTTGCTAAGGGAGCTTGCCAGGCATGTGCTAGAACCTTCTGTGAGTTGTCCCATTTTATCTTCAGCTTGATGCCGGGAGGCAGTAGTGATTAGCCTCATATTTGTGGCCAGGAACTGAAGCCAGAGAAGTTAAAGGACTTACTTGCTCAAGGTCATTCAGAGAATTGCCAGTGGAGCTCCAGATTCATGGCTGACTCAAAACCTGAGCGTTCCTTACCTGGACTGACATGGAGATGATAATTCCGGCTGACTTCATGGTTATTCTGAAGGAACAAAAATAAAAATAAATCAGTTCAGTATGGTAAATTATTCTCTATCACCTCCCTTCCCTCCTCATGTCATATATTTTAATTTGTAGGCATGGAATTACTTTTGAGCATACTTAGTATTAATCACCGAGAAATAAGAAAATTCATCCTGAAAGCTCCAGCCCAGAAGACCATGCAGACATCAAGTCACATACAGCAAAAGTTTATTGTCAGCAAGCTGACAAGGCTGTGCCTTTCGGGCTGGGCGCAATGTTTGTCTTTGTACAAAGAGGGTATCTTTATAGGGCCAAGGGCTAGGGATGGAAAATCCCACTAGGAGCAGGGAATTCTCTGCAGTTGCAGCTGGGATCAAATATAGCACTTAGCCAGGGTGGAGTTTCCTGATTGCAACAGTTGCAGTTAGGTCTGGGCAGAAGGCATTCCACTCCTGCAGCTGAAGGGTATCAGGTGGGGGGGGGGGCAGGGAAGACAGTTGCAGTCAGGTCTGGTCTGGTCTGGTCTGGTCACCTGATTTCAGGGAGAAAGGGCTGAAGACCTAAGATGGAGGTTGTTAAATTAAAATGGAAGGGGACATACTAATACATTCCAACAAAGAGAAAGTAAAATAAGGTTGTTGGAAATGATGAGAAAGTGAATGTGCTTTTGAGAGTTGATGCTCAGGAAGGTGGGCTAATGTAAATGCTCCCAGGTACCATGAGGGGCAGCTCATTTTCTACTGACTTTTTTTTTATATATTGGTGTTCATTTCATAAGAAAAGGCAGCAGAGAGGTGGATTTTGCTCTTTTGAAGTCTAATTCCGTTCTCTGATCTCTCTTCTGACCTTGAATTCTAGGAGCCATCAGATCCATGTTGGGGCTCTCTCCTCTGCAGAGCCAAGGGGCTGGGGATGCTCAGAACTGCACTGTATCTGTCTCCTGATTCCCTCTCATGCCCTGCCTCACTCAGCCCTGCAGCTTACTCACTAGGAGAAAGTAGAACTGCCCTCCCTTGAGTCACTGTGCATTTTGGGGTTGTGTTTCACATGAGCGGTTTGGTCATCTCTGTTGCCATTATGGGAAGGGAGACAACTAGGCATTGTTTTGTATTCACTCAGCCGTGTGGGTGACATTTGGGTTTGGCTCATTTCTGCAAATCCCTGTGCAAAGAGGAGGTTTTATTAAGCAGTTCCATTACTTAGCTGTTCTTGCAACTCTGAAAACCCAGCTGATTTATAATTAAACTTTGACCTAGTGACTGTGCAGATAGCATGATTCTTTGTTTTTTTTCTTCTTCCTTTCAACCCATAGTTGATGTGTCTAACCTAGTAGAATTTTCAGAGAAAACAAGAACTAAAAATAATTTTTCTAAATTCTTTTAAATACAAGATTTGGCTTTTTGAAGATGAGTATCAGGAACCTGCATTTACTGATACCTTGTAAATATTCTAGATGATTTTTATATCTTTCTTTCTCAAGTAAGACAACTACCTCTTCAGAATGGCCACTGCTCCTTATGTAGTTTGTGTAATTCCAAGACTGCTGATCTGGGAATAAAGGGCATATGCTCACTAACATGATCGTGTGGGCACACCTGTGTGTGTGTGTGTGTGTGTGTGTGTGAAATCATTCTCATTTTGAAGCCTAATAACTTTTCTGCACTTAACAGGTGTTTGAGATGGATATTGCTAAACAGTTACAAGCTTATGAGGTTGAGTACCATGTGCTTCAAGAAGAACTTATTGATTCCTCTCCTCTCAGTGACAACCAAAGAATGGATAAATTAGAGAAAACCAACAGCAGCTTACGCAAACAGAACCTTGACCTCCTAGAACAATTGCAGGTAAAGCATATTTATAAAGCAGCTTCCTGAATTACAGCAGATAGTAGCTTATTAACTCACCAAGGGCAACCGCAGACTGGACTTTCCCATGCCTGGAGGCTCTTTCTCACCCTTGTCTGTTTGTAGTTGTGATCAAAGGTATCCCAAGAAAATTGGTCCTTTTTATTAGGGTGCAGACAGATGTTCTTGCTAAGGTCAGACAGTCCTGGAGCTTACTGAGAGGTTCTTTTTGCACTAGGAGACAGACCTAGAGACATACTTAGTCCCACATTCTGTGGTACTGCCAGCTGAATGCCATCAGTTGTGCTATTTACCTTGACAAGAATTGAGAGCCTTCACTGCCATGAGCAGAGCAATCTAGGTCCACCCAGGGTAATGAGGAAGGGAAGCAATACAGAAATCTACCTAACAGAATAAACCAGAACATGTAGTCAGTATCTGAGTCCTTGGAACTAATGCAGAGATTTGATTAGCAAAGGGCATAGTTCTCCTCTCTAGAACTTCCATTGGGACATGAATAAATGTAGTAGAGGACACACAGAAGACAAGGCAGTACAGCCTGGCCAGCAGAGGGAGAGACAGGGTGAGCACCATGATGCCATTCATAGGCCTGGACCTACCAGACCCAGAGAGGGCCCCACTCTGTCACCCCAGACAGACCACCCATCCTGTTCCCTTATCTGGGTGACAGGCACAGAAAGACGTTATGAAAAGTGTTACTTCTTTCTCAGGCAACTAGCATATAGTAACTCTACATCCTACCTTTTTAATGTCATAGGTAGTGTTGAACAATACTTGGGGAATGTTTTTAGCATTGTTTGCCAGTGCTAGGCTGGTTGTAAATTAAGTGCCCCCATCCCTTCTTGTCCAGAGACAGGAAGCTTGGCCATGCTGTAGAAATACCAGCATTTAACAGCCTGATGTTCTAAGTGTAGCCTTTGTCAGAAGTGCATTCGTTGGGGTTGGAGGCATGGCTCAATTGGTAAAGCACTAGCCAGTGAGTGAAAGAGTCAAGTGCCAAGTTCCAGTCTTCATCTTGGACTTAAATAAATCAAGCACATTCCTCCCGCACAGCATCTATCCTAGTAGATCCTAGTAGATGTTTGCTGTAGAAGAACTAGACCAAACCAGAACCACAATTTAACTTCTTTTGTTCCCTAAGTTTGAGTTGTCCTAACTGAAAGCATGCCTGTATATATTCTCCTAGAGTGTCAGCCGTAATCAGAAGAGAGCTTGAGGAGAGTGTGGGGCACAGAGACTTCTTTGGCCTGCTGGGATGCATGCACAGTGTAGGTGGTCATTTTCAGTGTCTTCTGAGCCAGCAGGAGACCTCTGAAGCATAACATGATGGAGCACTTCTGCGGGAGCTCGCATTCACAGACAATGCTTTGAGCTTGTTAAGGCAGCAAGCAGTTCTCACATAAAAGGTTCCCTCTGTTAGGCTACTGCCCACAAGGGTTTGGTGGGAGGGATGGGGGTGCTGCTGCTGTGAAACTGCACACCTTTACGTGTTAACAGCTGGGTGCAATGTCCCATGCCTGTAATCATAGCTACTTGGGAAACAGAATCAGGGCAAAAAAGTTCATGGGGCTCCATCTCAGTGGAATAAGCTGGGTGTGATGGTGCATGCCTGTGATCCCATTTATTACAGGAAGAACAAATTAGGAGAATCAGAGTCCAGGCACAGGCCTAGATAAAAATGTGATACCTGGGCCTGAGGATATGGCTTAGTGGTAGAGTGCTTGCCTAGCATGCATGAAGCCCTGGGTTCTGTTCCTCAGTACCACATAAACAGAACAAGCTGGAAGTGGCACTGTGGCTCAAATGGTAGAGTGCTAGCCTTGAGCAAAAGCAGATCAGGGACAGTTCCAGGCCCTGAGTTCAAGCCCCAGGGGAAAAAAAAATGTTAGCCCTATCTCAAAAATAACCAGTGCGAAAGCATGGCTTGGCAGTCCCTGAGTTCAAAGCCAGCATTTATTTGTTTGCTTATTTATTTATTTATATAATCTTTAAGGTATTTCTAAAATTGTATACACTTATTCATGTGTCTGAAGTAGATACACTGTTGTTCATTCATTTAAAATAAATGGATGAAATAAGTATGAAGTAGATTTTCTTAAAAACAAAATAAGAAAATGTAGTTCTAGAAGCTGGAACTGTTCTTTTTAACCTATTTGTCCAGCAGCACATAACTGCATAGACATACCTGGTACTGACAGATAGAAATACACAGATTTCTTATGGCAGCTAGTTTTTTAGCACCCACTATGAGCTAGGGACTGGAAGTCAGAGTCTGAGAGAGATTTCTGTCTTCAGTCTTACTGAGGAAAGCTGCCATTAATGCAGAGTGGTAAATAACCAGGCAAGGGTCTTATTTACTGAGCTGGGGGGTGGGGGGGTGGGGTATGTGTTGGTGGATTTTGAGGATCACAGGGTGTGTCTTAGAGATGTGTACCAGGATGTCCACCTTCCCCTCTCAAATTGACAGAGACCAGCCCTCAGCCATTTACTCCTTTTTATTTTGAGTATTCCAATGGCACAGCTGAAGCTTGACTTTGGGTCATAAGCTGTCTTTCTGTCTCTCTGCCATAAGGATATATAAGTTCAAATGCACTTTTTTTTCTTGGCTTTTAAATGAGAAGCCAAGAAAGTTTTTTCCTGCATGAAATAAATGGGGGCATGTGAAGAGCCAAACTGGATTAATAAGGTAGCAATCCTTACCAGCCGCTGCTCTACAGAAAGGCTCCTCTCTCAGTGTTAGAACTTTTGTGGTCCTCTCAAGGATGGCCCCGTGTCACTAGAGAAGATTAAGGAAGAGAGGCCCCATTGCCAAGGCAGCATTGGAAGGCTTTCTTCTCTGGTACTGGTAGTGTGCTAGGCTCTACGGATGTGAACTGAGAGCTTTGTTCCTCCTCTAGGATAGGAAGGAGGACACTGCTCACTCTCACATTCAGGGGGTGATGGCCACTCAGGGAGCCAGTGCAGACCTCTTAGCAGCATGCTCTCATCCTGGGCATCTTGCAATGCTATCTTGCTACTCCAAGGGAAATAAAGAATTTCAGGATAGGGAGCTGTTACTCCATAGAACTTCATATAGAAATCATTGTGAATCAAAGCAGTTTGTATATTACATATATGGCTTAGAACAGTGTTCTAGCACAGCAGGAGCTGTGTGTTCCTGGCCTCTGTCTCTTCCTCCTGAAGCACTCTTTGGCCATCACCTTGGTCCTGCCTGTAGTGGTGACCTGGGATCAGGGAAGGTGCTCTAAGATATTGCAGTCTGGTTCAGCCTGTCTACATGGGAAATTGAGAAAAACATGTGTGGCCAAAATTAATAATCATAGGCTAACTCTGGTAAGCGTCTCCTCAGCTGGATGGCCAAGTGCACAGGACCCCCTGCTATGTCATAATGGACAGGTACATTCTCATCACTCCTTTCATTCTCCAGGTGGCAAATAGCAGAATCCAAAGCCTTGAGGCCACAATAGAGAAGCTGCTGAGCAATGAAAGCAAGCTGAAGCAGGCCACGCTGGCTTTGGAGCTGGAGCGGTCTGCGCTGCTGCAGATGGTAGAGGAGCTGCGGAGGCCGCCTGCCCAGGCCAGCGAGGGCCCTGGAGCCTGACTGCACCCAGCCCAGATCTGGAAAGAGACTACACACCATCCCACCACTGTCCAGGCCTTAACCCAGACAGACACATGCTGGAGGCAGACAATGGGAAAGCGAATTTCTCAGGGAGGAAACTAGTTCACCAATGTGCAAATTCTTTTGAGCTCACACTTGCAATTCAGAGGACAAATGTCCCAGAGCTTTTATTATTGTTGTTGTTTTAGGTTATGACTCGTCCCTTCTCACAATCCTGATTACCGTTCTAGTAGCTTTAGATGGCATGGACATGAATAAAGGCACCTTTATGTTTCCTTGGTGTTTCCTTTTTCAGTGACACTGTGTTTGCAAATAGCATTCATATACTAGGATTCCAGAAGCAGAAAGGTCTGAAGACAAAAATGTAAATCTGTCACTCTTCAAGAAAGAGCTTGTGTGACCACATTTTCGTGTCATTGAAGAAAGTGCATCTAGCCATAGTCTGTCCATTTTTTTATTTGTAATTTGTGCTAGTACTAGGACTTGAACTCAGGGCCTGTGTGCTGTTCCTTCGGTTTTTCAGTCCACTTGAGCCTTAAGTGGACCTCACAAGCTTCACTTGGGGCTTTTTGGTGGTTAATTGGAGATAAGAGTCTTAAAGTCTGGGCTGGCTCAGATCTCAGCCTCTTGAGTAAGTAGGAATACAGGCAAGAGCCTCCAGTGTCCGGTGGTCTGTCCATTCTTGATATGGAAACCTAAAATGACTATGGGAAGGAAAAAAGATACATTTAAATTGGACATCTTGAATTATTTAGCAAATCTGACCACTGTTATTAGTACTTAAAAAAATTAGTGTTTCCATATTTTTTGTTTATCTTTAAAGTATAGGTGATCAGAGTCGTGACACATAGTTTTTATAGGGAAATCACCAGTTTTTAGAGTTCATCAGGTATTCCTAGTACATGATCTGCGATTGTAGGGTCTCAGATATTTATTTCTTTGTGATGGTTTCATGCGCACACTAGAGTCATGTATTTATTTTTACCTGTTGTATGATGTGTTGCAGCCAGGTATCCCTTTGAGTATCAATACTTTAGAGATCTGATTCCTTATGGAAGGATCAGAGTACGTCAAGATTTTCAGGGGTGTCCCAAGGTTCTGGATCTTTGAAAAGAGACCAGGCTGAAATGGCAATGAGATATATAGCAACTGACAGTTTTTCAAAGGTAGGAGTGTGTTTTGAACAGAACTCAGAACACCATGACACTTCTCTCAAGATGATGAGGACCCTGTGCCTTTAAGCAAAGAGCTACTCCTGGTCACCTTGTGTTCAGCTTGTCATTGTGTAGGGGTTCTCCCAGTACTTAGAAGGGGCTGTTAGAGCTCTTAGAGAAGAACTGTGTGGCACAGGTGGCCTCCCAAACAGCAAAATCATTTCTGGTCCTTCTAATCATGACCCCTTCCATTTCTCACAAGTCTCTTGACTCTCTTGGTGTTAGGTTTTCTTTTAAGCCTGAGATAGAAGCAAGGGTCACCATACTTGGAGTCACTGTAATTTCTGAATGGTGGGTGTGGTTTTTTACTGCCTGCTGCTTCTGGATCAGAGGAGAGTGGTTCTGAAACATGACAAGCCAGTTGCCTCTCTCACAAGTAGTTCCATCAGATGTAGCTTCAGGAGTTAACACTTGAGTTTGTCTTTCCAAATCAAATTTTACCATTTGGATATTTGATAAATGTCAAGTTTGGGCCATCTTATTACTACAATTCAAAAACAACTGCATCAAGAAACAACAAAGCAATAAAACAAACAATTTATGCCTATATTTTTCTGTGTTGTTGTTTTCTTGGTTTTTTTGAACTCCAGATTCTTGCTTTGTAGCCCATGAGTAAAGGAGTGAGCACTTGTGGATCTAAGTGTAAATATTAGTATTAGTGAGACCCATTCTACTTTTATAGGTGCCACTAAGAGGTTGCATTGGTCTAGGTACCAGTGGTTCATACCTGTCGTCCTAACTACTCAAGAGGTTCAGAGCCAGCCCCAGCAGAAAAGACCATGAACATCCATTTCCAAAATAAGCAGCAAAAAGCCAGCTTGGAGGCTGAGCAAAGCGCAAGGCCCAGAGTTCAAACCTGAGTACTGGCAAAAATAAATAACAAAAGATTGCACTGAGCCGGAGCTGTGGACACAAACCTGTGGGTGTACGTCAGACATAATCTCAGCCTATGACTTGGCAGGAGAAGAAAGTTCACATCCCTGTGAAGGTTCTCAGGCAGTTTTTAAAGCAGGTTTCATGTTCTGCCCCTCCCCCCTCAAAGCTGCACACATAAGTACACTTGCAAGTTGTCTTGTGATGCCATTAATTCTTGTATACTTATGACATTATGAGCCCTCAGGAAACCCACTACTACCCATGACAGCTGAGACAGCTACACTCAGTTTGGGTTCCCTCTTCTGGGTATAGACAGAAGGGCAATGTCCATTGTGGCTTTGTGTGTTGGGTCTGGTTGGTAAATTGGGGTTCACAGAGCTGCTTGTGAGTGCTCAAGTACTGGATTTTGTTCCAGGAATTAGATAAAACCCAACTGCAGGCCCAAGCTGTCTGAGATGCTGACGGATGGCCACCTATGGAGCTAGCCAGGGGCATGCGGAGCTCTGTGAGAAGCTTTGGCCACCATCATGACCGCTTGGGGCCCACTTGGGGCCCAGGGCCACCTCAGATCAACATTTGGAAGAATTAGGCTCTGGGAAATACAGTTCTGGATTGACCAAATAGACCAAGCAAATATCCACAATTAACTTTAGAGCCTATCTAATTCAAATGATGGTCGATATATATGTATCATTAACAAAGTCCCTTCATTTAAGTCATCATGATGAGTCATCATTTAGCTGCTGATGGCCTAACATTCTGCTGGCATCCAGGATTTCCTTCCACCCTTCATCTTCCCTCTATCTGCCTAATGTTACCAAACCGAACATTCTGTAAATGTTCTGTGTGGTACAACACTTTACAAGCGAGGCTCCTTAAATCTAAGTTCTGCTTTCTGGGTTTTTGCCTGGCTCCTGAGAATAATGGACTGGGAGAATTGGAGGAAATCTACCTCTGCTGGGTAGTAGGAGACCAGCTCCCACTTGATCATAGAGGAGAAGCTGGAGGTGACGGATCAGAGCAGCCCCTAGGCTGCATACCTAGTAGTGGACACCACCCAACTTTAATTATCTAGTGAGATTTAGGGACCATTCTTGATTACTTCAATTTATACAGCAGGGAAACTTTTACTCACAAGGGTGATCTGTACTGTAAGGAGCTCAAATGGGTTCACTCCTGAAATACCTCCTGGATCTTCATTTGGCAGAAGTTAAAACTGGGAGCACTTCAGGGACCAACCCCATGTGTGGACTTGGAGTTGGAGGAATGCCCCAGAGATCTGGCTGGATTAGATGATGTTTATTCATTAGGTGCAATGATGGCTCTTAACACCAAGTTATGAAACTTGCAAATTTTAAACTTGAATTTGTTTTTAGAAGGGAAAAAACTACAGAAATACCTTTGGTTTTGTAGAAATGAATCCTTCCACTATCTGTGGGAGTTTTTTGCTGTCATCTAGAAATTATTAGGGTGATGAGAATGTAAGCATTTCTGTTACAGAACGACCACAACAGCCATTATTTAAAATCTCTCACAAAAACCAAGAGGTAAATTCTGAGTAGGCTTCATAGATACCTGCCCTTTATATCTACAAACCAAATAATCACCCAGTCATTGTAATGGTAAGCTCAAATGTTTGAATTTATACCAGCAAGTGGAATGGCAAATTGTGTGCACAGGTTGTAATTATCAAACAATAGTTTTGCAGGAAGTAAAGTGGTTTATTAAGGATAAAGCTGCTATCCAGTGGGTTTTTGTTTTGTGGCACTAGGGATCAAACCCAGGTTCTCAGACATGCTAGATAAGTGCTTTAGCATTACCACTTCCTGCCACAATCTAGTCCTCTTATGGAGACCAGCAAACATGTTATTATTTTACATGGTTGAAGATTGTGATCATTTAGATGTCACTTTCTAGTGCAGCCTAAAATCATGGTTGATTTTGTTGCAGTCACAGCTGAAGGGAGATTATCTCCAAACTCCAGTAACAGTTTGGAGGAAGAGCCCTGCTTGTCAAACTAAGTCACCATGTGCATTCTTTGTTCTTATTGACTGATTTTGCTAAGATTGTCATTGAAATCTGGCTAGTGAATTTCCATCCATTTTAGATGCAAGCTAGTCAAAAGGTATGTTAGAGTTTTATATTTTTAACTAAAGACTTTTAAGACACTGAAATTCTCAATTTGGGAGCTTTTCAACTAGTTACACAAATGTTTCCAAGTTTGTTTGAGTAACACTCTCACATAGCTTTTGCCAAAGCATGGCCTAAAGCAATGGCACCATTTCCACACAGCTTTTCTGCCAAGCCTTTGCACAGCGCTTTCTTAGGGACCTTTTCGTGGCCTCCACCACTTGGGGTTTGCTGCCCTGCATACTTAAGGCAGTAGTGGAGGTAGAAGATTCTAGTCTGAATCTTCTTTTACCATATAGCCACCTATTCTATATATGTGTATGTCGATCTATTGTCTACATAGCCACTGACAACTCTTTCCCAGAGAGCTGCAGGAGTTTCATATTCCAAACTTGCAATATGCTTGGCTGAGTAGAGCCAAAAACAGCTAAACTCTGCGCGTGCGTGCGCGTGTGTGTATGTGTGTGTGTGTGTGTGTGTGTGTGTGTGTGTGTGTGTGTGTGTGTGTAAAGAATAGAATGTATGGCCAGGTACCAGTGGCTCACACCTGTAATCCTAGCTACTCAGGAGACTGAGATCTGAGGATCCAGGTGTAAAGCCAGCGCTGGCAGGAAACTCCTTGAGAGTCTTATCTCCAATTAACTACCAAAAAGCTGGAAGTGGAGCTATAGCTTAAGTGGCACAGCACTAGCCTTAAGAGCAAAAAAAAAAAAAGCTCAGGAACAGCACCCAGGCCCTGAGTTCAAGCCCAAGGACAGCTCCCCCCACCAAAAAAAAAAGAAAAGATAGAATGTGTAAATTGAGGCACTTTATTATCATAATGCTCTTTCTCAGGCCCACTGGTGCTAGCATGGCCAACAAGATATGACCAAGGAGAAACAATCTTGTCGCATTATTTTTCCAGACGGATTGTCTGCTTTTACTCTCCACATCCCCTTTTATTTAGTAGTTCGAGCTGGCCTCAAACTGACAATTTTCCTGCCCCATGCTCCAGAGTGTTGGGGTATTGGTGTGTAAAACCATACCTGGCTTGTTTCCCTTACTCTTCTGATGACCATTTCTCTTTTTCTCTCTTTCCAATAACCCTTTTCTCGTATTCTTTGTTTGGATCTGTGTTGACCAATTTAGAGTGTATCCTTCCTGCCCTAGAAATTTCTTCCTGAACCAAAGGTGACTGTGACTATTGCTAAGCTCCAATTCTGGATTTTGGCCCCGGCAGGGTGATCCCCATGCAGATATACCATCTCAGGAAACCTGTGCAGATGGTAAAAGAGCATGTGAGCAAAGCCGAGGCAAGATTGCTTGGGGGTTGTTAGTGCCAAGGTTCTGCCCATCTCAGTTCTTCCTGGACTTTCTAAGAAGGAGGACATGATCTATTTTCCTTTTCTCCTACATTTCCTACACTAAAACCATCTCCATGCCTTGACTATTAGGAAGGATAAATTTGGCTTTTTTCACCCAGGATCCACCTCTTCACCACAGCCCCCTGACTACATAATCGAGTTGCACCTCTATGACTCTCTGGGTGCATCTCTACAGACATGCTAACTCACTGCTTGCCTAGCAACCTCCCTAGCAATGGTTATGGTAGGTAGCAATGCTATATACTACTGGTACCATTCACTAAGCCTTGGAATAACAGTATCTGCTATCATTTAAACTTTACATCTCACAGAGAGATACACGTTTGGAATACATAAACGGGAATCACTCACAAGGTGATTGGTCAGAGAAGACTCAGCTGAGGAACGGTATTCAAGTGAAACTCTGAAGATAAAAGAAAAAAGGAAAAACAGGTAACTGAAGAGAGAAGTGAGTGTTCTGGGCAGATTAATATTTAGGTGAGGGAAAAATCCTTTCCAATGATGCCGAGTTCTATCCCAGCTTAGGTCTTGTACTAAGTCCTTTAAAACACTAAATCAACTGCTGTGGTTTGAATGTTTATTTCCCTTTGAAATTAATATGTTGTCTATCATCCAATAACGGTGAGGACTTTGGGAAGTAGGTCAGGAGGGCTTCACTTGTGAATGAGATTAGTGCTGTGTGTGTGTGTGTGTTGGTGCCAGTCCTGGGGCTTGAACTTGGGCTGGGCACTGTCTCTGAGGTTTTTTTTACTCATGGCTAACACACTACCACTTGGGCCACAGCTCCACTTCTGGCTCTTTCGTTGGGGGAAGGAGGTGATTAATTGGAAATAAGAGTGTCA